ATGTTAGATGATATTCCTTTAGTTGATGATATTGGTTTAGATATGGAAAGTTTAGATTTTACCGATTTGCTTGTTAATGAGGAAGAAGATGTTGCTATATCTTCTGCTATTGCTGCTGAAAATATTGACTCTTTGGATGGTAAGTTTTTTATTTTAGAAAATCTGCAAAATTTGTGCGCAAATTTTTGCGGATTTTTTATTGATTTTTAGAAAGTTTGCAAATTTTGTCCGCAAAATATTTGCGGATTTTTTAAATTGAAATTTTTATTTTTACCAAAAAATTTTTTTAAAGGTTTCAATGCTGGAAGTTCTTCAAGTTTATTAACTAATAATGCTGTTGAAATTTGTTCTCCACCATCCGCGTCAACTATTCGAACACAATCTAGAATGCAACAAAATAATAGTATTGAATCTTGTGTTACTCAAAATACTTCAAATATTTATCAAACGGTTTTTTTTAAATTTAATTTTTTATAATTTTTAAATACTTTGGGCCTCACTAAAAAATACCCGCAGATCTATGTACTGCCAAATAGGGGTTTCCACATCATTAGAAAATTGGATTTCTTCAGCCACAAGTATCATAGCAAGAGCGTTTGTACTAGGGTTTTCTTGGCCTCATTTATAGCCCGAACACTTGGGTTGCTGGATCCATATCCGAATATCCGGGGGTTTTCCAGGATTTGCTAACCTTACTGCATCCTACCATTAATAGTTCTTTTCTTATAGTGTTGTCCGAGTGAATTTTTTTTGAAAAATATTTTTCTTAGGTCAAAGAATCAACCCCAAAATTAATTGAATATCAAAGATTGAGTGCAGGTGCTTTAGCTGTTGAACGTTGGGAAGAGGATGAGCCACTTGGTGATAAAGCAACAAAAGCTGCTGTGCTTTATTCAAATGTATTTAGTTTTTTTGAAAAAAATATTTATTTTAAATTTCTTTCAAGATTCAACATCCAAATTTAAAAGAAAAGTTTCCTTTGTGGCCCGATCGTGTTCGACAAATTAATAAAATTTGGAGAGAATTAAATCCTGAAAAACGTCAAGAGTATGTTTTTGAATTTTTTGAAGTTTTTTTTTAATTTTTTAAAATTTTTTAGATTTGTTGAATTAGCCCGTAAAAATCGTTTAAATTGTCCTACACCCCGAAGACGCTCAAGACGGTTTGTTATAAATCCTACAACTCTACAACAACAACAACCTTCTTCTGAACAAAATACTTCTGAAATATCTCAGACTGGTGATACCTCTATTAAAATTAAGGAAGAAGGCTCGTTGGATGTTGCTTTCCGTGAAGAACTTTCACTGACAGACGTTAGTTTAGTTTAATTTTTTAGTTTTAAATATGAAATGATTTTTAAAGAGGTTTTATTTATGGATGTTTTTTGATTATTATATAGAGCAGACTGGGAGGATATCACGAGAATCAAGATATTTTAGATAAATACACTTTTTTAATGTTTTTAACGTTGCTTGTCTACTGGTTAGGAATAGCTGCTTAATTATAAGCGATACCCTTTTTGACTACACCTTGCGAGTGAGCTACTCCATCACAGTGCTTCAAAACAGTTGACAGACAGCGCATAGCAAACAGAGAAAAAGACAAAATGCCCATTAACGGGGAAAATTATAAAATGGTCAGTTAGTCGCGAGAAAAGAAGAGAGGAAAGTAAAAACGGTCAAAGAGAGAAATTCTCTCATTTATGAGGGGAATTAGTTAAATTCTATATCTTTTGGCCCTCCGGTCCGAATTTTTTCAAATTTTGTAATTTTGTAGTCCTAAAATAGTTAAACAATCCTGTAAATTTTGAGAAGCCATTATGCATTTTTGGCAAAGTTATGGATTTTTAAAAATCGGCAAAATTCGTCCTATTTTAGGCCATAACTCGTTCCAAAGTTGTCCTTTCTTCCTAATTTTTGTTTTATTCGATTCAGTGAAGAAAAACGAACAAAAACAATGTAGAAAAACGAACAAAAACAATCTAGGCATTTCAATAATATTCAGTAAAATTATGGAAAAACTTTTATTATGGAAAAACATCAAAAAAATTGTCAAAAGTTCAAGAAAATAAAAAATTTTTCGCATGGATAATAATTAAGACCTTTTCTACAAAAAAAGAGAGAGCAAGTAAATGAAAGAGAGGAAAAACGAGAGACTACACAAATTTTGCTATGCGCGCTTTTGAAGCACTGTGCTCCATTCAATACTGTTCCAAAAATATCAAACTTTAAAAACCCGTATCTAGGCGACTTTATTCCCGTAACCAAAAAATTATCGACTATGGATTATTAAATGATACCAAAAAATATCGAAATTAATACAGTTTGAAAAGTTCCCATGTCAGCTATAATTTTTGATCAAAAGCCTATCTTATAGTGAAGCCATAAATTAAAAAAAATTTTTTAGCAATTATCAAACCAATCGACAGGCGGTTCTTATTCATATTCTAATACTACATTTATTGGATTGGATAAAACATTAGAAGATAAACAACAACACCATCCAATTCAACAATCATCATCAATTGATTCACAACAATTATATTTTGATGAACAAGGGTTAAAATTAAAAGAAGAATTGCGAATTGAAGAAGAAAAAATTGAAAAAATGAAGAAAACAAAGAGAGCATTAGCAGCAAAACAGAGACTTTTAATTAAACGGCAACAATCTCAACAACAAGATGGGGGAGGTCCAGGAGGAGTACAAGGGGGAGGAGTTGGAGGAGGAGCATGTTCATCTACTACAACAATTCCATCATCCCCACAACTTTCTTCAGAAGAATTGACAGCACTTCCTTTGCCACCAAGACGTGGAACTTGTGATTTAGTTGAAGTTGAAGCAAATTTATTAGCCACAAAAAATTGTATACAAGAACAACAAAAATTGGTTGATGCTGGAAGGCAAAAATTAAAAATGTATTTGGGTGAGTAGCACTCTCCGTATATTCGATACTCTATATCGAATGACCCCATGTATCGTCCGCAAATCCAATCCGCAGCAGATCCAATCCGCAAAATCCAATTCGCAAATCCAATCCGTAAATCTAGTCCGCAAATTAAATCCGCAAACCGTAAATCCAATCCGAAAAAAATCCGCAAACCATCCAGTCCTCAAAAATCCAGTCCGCAAAAATTCCGCGAACCTCACACGATATAAAGTGATTTGGATATATGGGTTTATTCGATATAAAGTGTGTCGATATTTGGGATTTTCACCCCCATTTAGGTAAACAACAACAACAAATGAAAAGTATGTTAATAAATAAACAATTGGAGCAGCAACATCAAATATTTTTACCTCCATCAACATCATCCCCTCAATATTATTCAAAATATTTAATTCAACAACAATCATCTAGTACATCAATTAATAATTTATATGATATTGAAGGGCAGCAATATTTTAATAAAAATTCTGGTTCTTTTGATCAGTCATTATCAGCTTCATTTCAACCAATAAAACCAACACGTGGGCGTAAAAGGAAAAAGGTTTTTAAATTTTATAGAAATTGAATTTTTTTAATTTTTCGAGGAGGGTTTTAGCAGGATTCTTAACACGTAATCTGCCTAAAATTCTCTTACATATCTATATATTTTCTTAAAAACGTAATCAAACGTCTTCTGGGATCGTTGATTACCGGATAGAGTAAAAAGAAGGGTATGGTTTCGGGTCAGGTTTTCAAAATGTTCTCCGGATCTAGTTTCGGGCGGTCTGTCAAAAATCTAAATGTTCGGCCTAAACTTTTGGAAATAATTTTAATAAAATCGAGAAAATCATAATCTATCTAAAATTCTAATCCATATATTCTTTTAAAAAAATTTTAAATAAACTTTCGGGTATTCGGAACCAAATCCATTTGCAATTTAAAAAAGTGTTGTAGTTATCAAGGGCTGCAGTTATTTTTAGGGCTTCAATTATTCCAACGGTTTGGAAAATTTCGGATATTCGGATTTGGTTCCGAATATCAGAAATTTTTTTTTATTCTTAACACACTGTCTCCTTATAAATTTATTAATCATTTTTTTTCAAAATTTTATATTTTTTTTTATTTTTTTTAGCCTCCTCACGAACATATTCGTTCTCAAATTCTCGGCAAAATAGTCTATTCGACTTTACAAACACAAGAAGACAGGGATGTTTATGATGTAATTGATGGACTTGTACACACAGTTTCCAGTAATTTTAATAGTGCAAATAAGGCTGCAGATGCTCTATTTATTAAAAGAATTTTGTTTTCGCATCAACAACAAGAACAAACTTTAAATTTGGCAACGAGAACTAGTAGAGGTTTTTTTGGAATTTTTGAAAAATTTGGAAAAAAATTTTTTAAAGATGGTGGAGAATCTTGTAGAGGAAAGAAAAGAAGTCTTAATAAGCAGAATAAATGTGTTGAACCTACTACAGAAGTAAAAAATGATTTTATGAGGTGCCAAGACAGAATAAAGGAAGCGGTTAGTTTTTTTTCTTTTTTTTTTAATTTGGATCTGTAATGGTGATAGATAATCGAAATTAAGAATAGTCGTAAATGAAACACGAAATTTTCTTTTTTTGGCTGCGTTGTCCTTTTAATTAGAAATATTTGCTAAATTTTTTAATTTTTGAGATACTTCACATCAAGGGCGTAGCCAAGGGGGGGGGGCTTCTGGGGCTAAAGCCCCCCCCCCCCGAAATGGGGAAAAGGGAAAAATTTGGGGAAGGCGTTGGGGAAAAAAGTGAATTTTTTTGGCCTACGGCCTTCGAATTTTAAAAAATTTTCGCCTGCGGCGATGAAAAAGGAAGAAATCTGGCCTTTTGAGCTCCAGAATTCAAAAAATTTTCGCCTGCGGCGTAAAAATGGAAGAAATCTGGCTTCTTGAGCTCCAAAATCCTCAAAATTTTCGCCTGCGGCGCAGAAAAGATGAAAATTTATGAACAAAAAAATTTGCGTCCGGAACGCCAAGGTAAACGCCAAAAATTTGGCGCCCACCCAGTGTTAGCCCCCCCCCCCGAAATCGACCCCCTGGCTACGCCTTTGCTTCACATCACAGCTATGTCGAAATTTTGATTTTTCATTCTTTTCGTTTTTCGAATCTAGACAATTTTTTGTTGTTTTTCGACAATTTTATTTTTTTTCTTCAAATTTTGAACATTTTTTTCATATTTTTCGACTCACAATCAGTCAGCCTATTTCACGTTAAAGCGTTAAAATAATTTTTTATAACCCCTATATCCCTTGTATTTTTCATGTTTGCCTATTTTTATTGCCCATTTTGAATGGGCTTTGAATGGCTTGTTAGCCCATTTTGAATCTGCATTTTTTGCGGTTTCCTCGAATCTGTCTAATTTATTTATTTTTCCCTTTTTTTACAGTTAGATTCATTACCTCCATTAATAACAACATTAGAACAATATAAAGAATATGATCGTCATATATTAAAATATCCTAACCAAATTGGTATGCCTGATAATCCTGGTTATGCTGAATTTTCGAATAAAAATGTTAAAGTTGGAGAATATAAGCTTGATTTTATGATTGATTTTTATGATGAATTGGAAACTAATAGAGGCGATTTTATTGAAGAAGAATTCTTTTTTGCTCCAACAATGGATGAAATTTGCCAATTTGTTGATTTGGATATGCTTGAAAGGTTTTTTTGAATTATTTTTTTTTGGAATTTTGGACAAGTTCCTTTCTTCTAGGGAATATTAAGGAGGATTCTTTTTTGTTAGCTGTCCGCTCCATATACTAACTTTAATTTTAAACACACCTTCCTATATTTTTGATTTAGTGTCTTCCAGGTTCGAAAACTTGTTTAAGGGGAACTCAACCACAAAATACGAGATTTCACAAGATTCTCGGGATAAGAGCTTCACAAAAAATACTAGAACCAGATACGAGATCTCTCAAAAATACGATATTTCACGAGATACGAGACTGAACCCACCCCTGTTCGAGAATATTTTTGGGGGAACCGGTAAATTTTTGGGTCTACTCATAACCGGAACTTGCCAAAAATTGGAACCGCAGGGAAATCTGGGAGCCTCTACCCATCCCTGTTTGGAAAACCAGAACCACAAATCCATATTAGTCTTTTTCTAGAATTGAAAGAAATATTCGAATAATTTTATTTACATTTTTTAAAGTTTTGATGATGATAGCCTTTCTACTATACCTTCTGATTCTTTTGAAATTAAATTTGGAACTGATTTTGCTGATAAAATTAGAGAAATGAGTTTTATTGACTGGACAAATCTTTCTATTGAAAATATTGCTGATAAAGGGAAACTTGTACGTTCTGCTTTGTTACCTGGAGGAAGTGGACCAGAAGTTGAAGTTCCTATAGATCCACATTGGTCTAGATTTGAGAAAGAGGTTTTTGTTTTTTTATTTGAGTGAACCTTTTGAATTAAAAAAATTATTTTTGGAGAGGGAGAGGGTCTTTTCATATTTTGTCCGCAAAAAATTTGCGGACAATTCTTGCACCTTTTTAGGAAAAATTGGGGAAAAGACAAGTTTTACTTTTTTGTGCGCAAGAAAGTTGCGGACAACTTTTGCGGATTTTTATTATAAATTTCTATTTTTCGTTAAATTTTTTCAGGAAGTTAACCCACTAGAACGTGAAGTTGAAGTAATTATTGATTATGATCCAACAATAACTTTGCGTGAAGATATGCTTAAAAAATTACAAAAATTATTGGGAATAGGAGAAATATCAGCAGTTGAATTAGAAACACCTCCACAAACCCCAGCATCACCACCACCACAACAAACACAATTAACAACAAATTCTAATAATTTATTAAGTGGAAATGTTGAAAATACTAGAAATTTGAATGAAAAAAATGTTTCTTTAATTATTTGTAAAAAATGTGAAAATGTGTTGACACCAGAAAAGAGACCAATTGAAGAATTTGCTGTAAATTTGGGATTGTCTAATGAAAAGGTTTGTTATTTAAATTTAATTTTTTGACTAAATTTTTAATGTGTTTTTTCCTCACCTTTATATTTTTTGGCCATATTTATTCCACAATATGCAAAGTTTTAAAAGCCCACTATCTAATAGAAACCCATACCTATCATAAGTCTAGTCAAGGAGACGTATTGAAAAAAACTCAGGGCTTATATTAGAGTATTTACGATAGCTATTCGAGGATATCGACTTAAAGGGTGGTTTTGGTGCAGTGGTATAATGGTCTCCTATCCTTAATTTTATGTCGAAGGTTCGAATCCATTCGTTGTTTACTATGATTCTTTTTTCATTATTATTTTTTAAAAATATTTTGGAGGTGTTTATACGCTTAGAAAATTTTTTTCTAATTTCTAACATATTTTATTTTTAGTCTGCAATAATTACTTTTTGTTCAATGCCATGTTACTTTACCTTTCTTGCTGATAAACGAATTCCTTCAACTGTTGAATTATTAGGGATGGCTGAACGTTGTGTAAATGAGGTTTTTTTTTTAAAATAATTTTTAATGAATTTTTTAAAATTTTTTAAAGGAAACCTTGGAAATTTTACGTCAAGCAAGTGTTGATAATTTTGCGAAGAAAATAAATAATGGAGGTGGAGATCAACAGGGAGGTGGAGGAGGTACTGAAGAAAATTGTGGAGAATTATTGGACTTAAATTTGCCGAGAGAATTACGTTTAAAATGTTCAGAATTGACAACTTTAATTCAAGCAGAAAAAGATAAAAAAGAAAAGAATTTGGCGAATAAAAAAAATTTTAAATGGAGAGGACATGGATGGACTAGATGTGATGTTGAATTAATTAATTCTTTTAATAAACAACAAGAGGAAATTAAAAAGGTTTTTTAAAATTTTATGCTACATATTAATGGTTTAGGGATCTAGAATTAGTGCCTGGCGCATGGGAGGATTCGGCCAGGGTTTTGAGAGTCCGGGTCCTGAATTTGGGTTTTTTTTCGCAATCTCACGATTATTTTTGGACCAGATTAGTCACCAAAAATCTATTAGGGTCCAGTAAATAGGTTTTTTCCGGTCCTGCATCAGCAAGAAATACAAAATTTTTTCTGGATCCATAATATAATTTTGGTTAATTTTTAAAAATCAAGTTTAAAAACGGTCAATATTAATTTTAATTGCTTTTCCTCCAACTTTTTTTATAAATAGGTTTTTATTTGTGTTGAATTGACCTTTTTAAACTTGAGCATATTATCCCAACTAGAAAAATTTTACGACAAAAGGAAGACTTCTGTTCAATTAATCCCACAAAAATTTTTAGAAATAATTTTTTTAATTTTTTGTCTAGAAAATAGATTCAATCTACCTTAGAACAGCAAATAAAAAATATGAAATTCTTCGAAATGAAGATACTAGATTTTGTGCTTTTTGTGGAGAATTAGGTGATGGTGATCAAGAATTGACTGGACGTTTATTAAATTTGGATGCTAATGAATGGGTACATGTAAATTGTGCTTTGTGGTCAGCTGAAGTACATGTTACTGAAGAGGTTTTTCTTTTTAAAATATTTTAAAAAATTATTATTAGACCTACTCGAAACTGTAATAATTTTAAAAAATTAAAGAAAATAATAGTTGACACCTAAGCGGGTTCGAACCCACAACTCTAATCTTTACACTTGTCTACCTTCAAAAAATACTTTTAAAATTCCTTTTAGGGTTTTTATTGTTTTTAGACTTACCTATGGCTATGGGCATCCAAAAATGAGGGGAAAATAATAAATGTTCACCAAACGGGTTCGAACCCACGACCCTCATAACTAATAAAATAACACTTTTATACCTTCAAAAAATTCTATTTAATTTTTTATTTCTTCTGACTCGTACTAAAAATTTTTTCGTGTTTTGCTTCATCCAGTAAAGGGGACAAATTTATTATTTTTTTGAAAAATATAATGAAAAATAATTGTTGATCATCAAACGGGTTTGAACCCATGACCCTATAGCTAGTTATTTCTAGGTTATTTTTCTTTCTTATATTTGCACTTTTTTAAACTAATTTTCTTCATATAATGAGTAAATTACCTGTAAAAAATATTTTAAAAAATCAGTATTTTTTCTTTTTACAAAATCAATTCTTTATTTTAAAGGGTGCATTAATTAACGTGGATGTTGCTTTACGTAAAGCACAAAAAGTTGATTGTAAAATTTGTAATAAAAAAGGAGCATCAATACGTTGTTATAAATTGGATTGTATAAATAAAGATTTTGCTTTTCATTTGCGTTGTGCTAAAAAATGTAATGGACATTTTTTAAAAGACAAGGTTTTCTTTTTAGAATTTTTAAAAAAGTAATTTTTTTATTTGCGGACAAAAATTGCGGATTTTTGGAAAATTATTTTTTGACTAAAATTTCTAATACTGACTGGCCTCATTCCTTTTCTACCTTGGGTTAGGTTGTAAAAAATGGCTGGGGTTAGTAACTATTAAAATTTTTGTTAGAAAAATTAATTTCCAGAAATCCGCAATTTTTGTCCGCAAATAAAAAAATTTATTTTATTTTTTACTCAAATTAATTTTAATTTTTAAAAAGACTTTCTTTTGTCCAAATCATGAAATTCGACAAGATTTTTTAATTGCTCATTTTGATGCTTTAAAAAGAATTTTTATCCAACGAGAAGAAAATTCATTACTTTCAAAAATATTTAATCATTCATATTCTACAGAAATGTTGATGCGTGTTGGGTATATATTTTTATGAAAATTTAATTTTTTTAAAATAAAATTGGGGGAAATCCACATTATAAGATACCCACCCAATAATAAATAAATTTTTATTTAAAAGATATATTTTTAAGTTGTTAGTCACTGAGTGGAAGAGGGGGGGAGGTTTACCTAAGAGATTACGCAATTTTTTAGTAGCTTCAAGAGTATAGTTAAAGTGAGGTCGTTGTTGTCCGCAAATAATTTATTTTTTTATTAACTAATTTAAAAAATCTCTTTTTAAGTTCACTTATTTTTCACAAAATTGGCCAATTATTACCTGAACAACTCAAAGCTTTTACTACTTCAGATTATATATTTCCGGTTAGTTAAAAAAAATTTTTCAAGTTTCGAGAAGAGTAGTGGGATGGATTTTTTTTATCCTTTTTGTAGATTTTTAAAATAAGATTTATTTGCATTAAGAAACCCCATGGGCAATTTGTGAGATAAAAATTTATTTTTGAAAAGTCCGCAATTTTTGTCCGCAATTATATTGCGGATTATATTTATTTTAAAGACCCATTGGAAATTGTTTCTTGTTGTTGGACTAAATTAAAAAAAGGTTTTTGAAGGTGTCTATCTTTAAAAATATTTGGGGAAAAAATTAATTTTAAAATATTTTTTGAAAAGATACGAAAAATTATTTTTGAGCTTTACCCATTTAAAAAATAATTAAAATAATCCACCCTTTATCCTCTATATTTTTAAATAAAATTTTTTAAATTAAAAAAAATTTTTAAAGATTGGCTATAAAGTAACACGTATATTTTGGTCAATTTCTGAAATTTATGAAAATGATAAAATGTTTTATGAATGTTTAATAACTGAAAATGAAGGAAAACCTAATTTTATTGTAAAAATATTATCGAAGAATAAAGAAGAAGAGAAGAAATTTTCTGGAGAAGAGCCAACAAAAAGTTGGGAGGAAATACAAGAATTAATTTGTAAATTACGTGAAAATACTAAAGGAAAAAATTTACGTTTTTTTCCGAAACAATTAAGTGGAGAAGTTTTGTTTGGATTTACAGAACCGGCAATTAGTAAAATGCTTGAATCGGTAAGAGGATGGAAAAAATTTTTTTTAATTTTCTGATAGAGGAATTTTTGAGAAAAAAATTAATTTAAAAGAAAATCCGCAATTTTTAGCCGTAAAAAATTTTTTTCATTTAAAGTTACCTGGTATTGACCAAATTTATACTTATACTTTTAAACATGGAGGAACTCCATTAATGGATTTGTATGTTTCTTTTTAATTAAATTAACTTACTTGGGGTTGTTAAAAAGTTAAAAGAGATTTTTTTAAATTTAAAGGCCTCTAGCAGAAAACCCTTCTGGCTGTGCTCGTTGTGAACCATGTTTTCGAACTTTGGTTAAACGGAAACACAAACCTATCATTAGCAATTCACCAAATAAACTGGATGAAAAATCAACATTTTCTTCTGATTCTGTAGTTTCTAGAGAAGGGAGAGGTAAGAATAGATGAACCTGACTTTTTGGATTAATTTTTGAATTGAGACTTCTCCCTATTAATTCTTCAGACCTCTCTAGCTTTTCGTTTTTGACTTTCTCGTCACTTTTGGTTTTCTTCTAAATTGGACATTAAATGATTTCTAAGGTCTGAGGTCACCATTAGAAATTTATCCAGAAAATTTGGTACCTCACAAAAATAAAATTAACGTGTCAAAGATTTTCGAGTTTGGCCAAAAGTTTTCTTATATTTTGGAGGATATGATTTTCTAAAATTTTTAAGATTTATGAGATTATATGTATAGGATTTTATTTTGCAGCAAGAAGTTCAACATCTCAGCGTTACTTTAATTTATCAAAAATAGATGAAGAAACAAGAAAAGCTTACAAAACATCGGGAATAAATGAAAGAATGTTACAATCTTTATATTTTCGAAATTGTAATGAACAACATACTTTATTAATTACTCAATATAGAGAAATGAAAAAAGAATGGAAAGAAAATATTTATTTGGCGAGATCAAAAATACAAGGGTTGGGGCTATATGCAAAAAGAGATTTGGATATGAATCAAATGATTATTGAATATTTGGGGGAAATGATTAGAAATGAGGTAAAAATGATGCAGAGGGAGGAAAAAATGGAGTAGGGGCAATAGAGATGTCCAAAACTCTTGGTCTTGAGTCTTTACTCAGGACTTTTCTTGGGCTTTTTTGGCCTTGGGGGAAGTCTTGGTCTCGAGTCTTGGAAGATTTTCGGTCTTGGACATCTCTACAGGTCAAGGTACCGCTGAACTATAACTAAATTAAAAATTATCTGAGCCGGGACGCCCTGGTATTGTTCGGTTCAGCTCGTTGAGGCGCTTGGAATCATACCTGGCTCGCGTTACATTGGGATTTATCCAGAGATGTTGCGAAACAGAGAAGTCTTCGAAAACCAAAAATACCCCAAAATTTCGAAAATAGTAAATCGAAAGGAAAAACTCTCAAAAATCGGAATTTCTAAACAATTCTGGATTTATCGAAGGGAAATTAAATTTAATAGTACATAATAAGAAAAAGGATGAAAATTATATATAGTATTTTAAATTATTCTGTTAGTGACGCGTTGGTGTATTGGTTAAGGCTTCTGATTCCCGACATAAGTTGCTGGGGTTCGGTCCCTCTTGCTTCTCTTCTTCTCTAATTTTATTTTTTTAGACTTTCCAAATGAAAAATGAGAAAAAAAATTTTTTCTAATTTTATTTCTTACTTTTTTAAAGGTTTGCGAGATGCGTCAAAAACGTTATATAGAACAAAATAGGGGGGAATATATGTTTAGAATTGATGTTGATTGGGTTGTTGATGCTACTATGGCTGGTAAAAAAATTATTTTTTAAGAATAATTTAAAATTTTAATTTAAAAGGTGGATTAGCTCGTTATATAAATCATTCTTGTGATCCAAATTGTGGCACTAAAATATTAACAATTAATGACGAAAGTAAAATTGTTATATTTGCAAATAGACCAATTAAAGCTGGGGAAGAGGTTAATTAATTTAATTTTTAAATTAAAAACTAATTTTTTTCTAGTTGACATATGACTATCAATGTGAGTTTTTATTTTTATTATTAAATATTGTATAGTATTTTTGCTTAGATTTTGACTAATTTAAGCGTATTATAATTTATTTTCTAAAAAGAGTAGTTAAAATATCCGTGGTGTATTGGTTACGCTTCTGACTGTAGGCATATACCTGCCCGGGTTCGACCCCGCTTGCCTCCCTTCTATTTTATTTTTCTTTTTTTGACTTCCCAACTTTGAAAACCCCTTTCATCTTTTATTTTTATATCTCTACAATTTTTTTTCCTTTGTTTTATTCTTAATTTTGCTATTTTTCAGTTGAAATTGAGGAAACAAACAAGAAAATCCCTTGCTTATGTAGTGCCCCAAATTGTGCGCGATGGATGAATTGACGAGGATTAAAAAAATTATTTAAAAAAGAAAACAAAATAGCCTTAAATTGACTATATATTATTTATATATATTAATGTGATCTCAGTTAATAACCGCCGTGACTTGTATATTGACAAAATTTCAAGTTCATTACTTTAGTAATCTCGAAGTCTTATTTTTTAATATGCCAAGTGTGAATAAAAATAAGTTTAAAAAATCCTTCTATATCGATAGTATTGATTTTTTGAAAAATGGAAACCGATATATCGATTGGTATTGATTTTATCGATTAGTATCGATTTTTTGAAAATTAAACATTTTTTAAAAATTAATTATCGATTAGTATTGATTTTATCGATTAGTATCGATTTTTTGAAAATTAAAAATTTTTTAAAAATTAATTATCGATTAGTATTGATTTTATCGATTAGTATCGATTTTTTGAAAATTAAAAATTTTTTAAAAATTAATTATCGATTAGTATTGATTTTATCGATTAGTATCGATTTTTTGAAAATTAAAAATTTTTTAAAAATTAATTATCGATTAGTATTGATTTTATCGATTTTTAGAATTTTAATTTTATTTCAAAATCGACAAAATGCCTAACAATTCTAAAAACGACAAAATGCTACAATGTTGTAAATGCGACAAAATGCTACACTGCTTAAATGTGACAAAATGCCTATCTTTGAAATGCAACAAAACGCCACATTAATCTTGACAATTTCAAAAAGTCAATATTTTATCCTGAATATTAGATTGTACAATGAAAGCGTAAAAGACCCGAGTATGAATGTCTTGACTTGATCGGAAAGGATTAAAAATGGCTGAGAAAGAGGAGAGTATTAAGAATAGGAAATCAAAAAACCCTCTATATTATGGACCTCTAGAAAGATTGTCGTAACACATTTTGCCAATGCGACATTTTGCCAGTAAGGCAAAAAACACGCATTTTGTCAACAATCGTATCGGTAAAATGAGGGGTTTTAGCCTAATTGGCAAAATATGATATTGACAAAATGCTAGGGAGCTGAATATAATATAGAGGTATGTCCACAATATAGAGGTATAAAAATAAATAATAAAAATTCTCAATATTGTTGTCCATTAAATATCTCTTTCAATTCTTTTCAATATTTTTCTTCTTCTTTTTTGCTGCCGCTGCCGGATATTTAACAAATGGCCTTTTTGGAAATATTTTTTGTTTCAAAATTTTTTGAGCTGCATCTTCTCTTCTTCTAAATAATTCCAAATCTTTACTCATATAAGTCAATATAAATTCATCTACAGCTTCCGGATAAAAATATAAATTTAATTCATGCCTCAATTCATTTTCAATTCTTTCAAGTGGTTGCAAATAATAATTTATATATGTTAACACTTTCTAGAAAATGAAGAAAAAATGAGCAAAAATTATTTGATTAATAGCAAGTATTAGAGCCTGACATTTTCATTGTCAAGCATGGACCTGAGGTTATTCTTTCAAATCGACCCAGGCTTGGGTTTCCGAACTAAAAGCTCAGAAACCCGAATTTTACCAAGATACACCATCTCCAGGCTACCGGATCGGATAACCTGGTCCTGGTGTCGAGCTCTAGTAATTGTTATAATGGTAGCATGGAGAAATATACGAGAACAGACAGTTCCGATCGGACTTGTCAGAAAAAACTGCCTAGAGAAGGATTTCCGGAAATGTTCGTCCTAATAAGTCAGGCTCCCTAGACTAGTTGATTGATTCAGTCTCGAGGCCATTTTTCAAGAAATCCCCAAAAACCACACCTTAATATACATTGGAGAAGAAGAATTCCAATTTTCTGTTAATATAGATACCCAACCATTAAATTCAAAATCTGTATCAATATATTTTCTTAATTGTTGACTAAAAGTTGAATATTCGTTAATTAATTCGTAGACCTTAAAAACAGATTTTTTTAATTAAAAAAATACTTTTTAGAGTAGAGAAGAAAATGAGGTTTTATTAGGGTTAAAATTTTTTTTCAAATGGGTTTTGACCAAAAATTGGACTAATTTAATAATTTTCTATTCATCGATAACAAAAATTTTTTTTCAAAAAATCCAAAGAAAATTATAGTGAAGACAAATTACTTTAATTACCCTCCCCCCTCAACCAGGCCCATAGCCAGGATTTTTTTCAGGGCAGGGAGCAAGGTGGAAATTTTTTTTTGCCCAATCCCCTCCTTTTCCCCATTAAGGGGGGGGGGGAGGGGCAAGGGGGAATAACCCGCTGGCTACGAACCTGCCCTCAACTACCCCTAAAAATTAAATTTATTCAGAAATTATCTTTTTTACCCTCTTTCCAGGAAATTCACAACCATAAGCAAATCCAGGTTTATATGGAGCATCACAATGCAATAATTTTGAAGTTTTTTCATACCGTCCATCTAGGGGACGTCCAGCGAGTATTGTTTCTGCAGACATTGAAAGTGTGGGTATTCCAACTGGGAGCATTTCACATAGGACGGCTAAATGATCATAACGAGACCACCCAGTAATTATTAGACCCTTCAAATAAAATTTTTGAAAAATTTTAGTCTAAGGGGGACACTAGAGTCTCAGATTTTATCTTACCCAAATAACCCACCAAACAGCCAAAAATAAAGGTGTGGGATAGATGGGATGTGTGTGACACTTTAAAGGTGGTAAATTGAAACCCTTTACCCAATGGACTAAGGTCAGAAATAGAGAGAAAATTGCGAAAATGAAGAGAAAAATAAACTCCTCAAAAAAATAAATTTTCAAAAAAAAAACCTGAAATTTATCAAATTCTTTATAAATTTTAGTCATTTGTTCAATCCAAGCTTCATGATTGCGAATATAATGAATTGGATTTGAATAGAAACGCATTGGGCCATCTGCACCTTTAAAAGCTGAAGCACCCCAAACTTTCCTATAAAAAAATTAAATAAGTTAATTTAAACTTTTAAAAATATTAATAACCCTACAAAAAAATAAAAATAAGTCGATAATATCCCCTAAAAAATTTTTTTTGCGAGGTTTAAAAATAAAAAATATTAGACACTGAAATATCCGCAAGAGGGATTCGAACCTTACTGGATACTCGCCAAAGGCCCAACACCTAACCACTACACCAAAACCACCTATAACCCAAAACCAAATTTACCCGCTTAAATAAATAAAGGAAACCTCTAATTTTACTCCCTAATAAATTTAAAAAACCTCTCTTACTTAAATTTTTTCAAAGCAAGCCAATCAGAATAAGGCAAATACATATCCAGATCTTCGGCATATGACCTAAAAATTGAAAAAAAAAATTTTTTAATTAGAAAAATTTTTGTGAATTTTTAAAATTAAAAAAAAAGAAAAATTTCTAAAAAAAATCTAACACAATTAGTCACCAAAGTATTGGTTCAAGTATTTTACTCAAATTAAAAGCTTCAGAGTCTCTATCTGACATATGTACAAGCATATCATGCCAAGCCAAAATTGTTGTCTTTAAATAGAAAAAAATTTTAGTATCAGAAAATATTTGCGGACAAAAAGTTGCGGACTTTCCCGAAACTAGAAAACCCCAGAATTTTTTTGGAAGAAGAATAATAGAGGGCAAATGAAAGTGGAGACCGGACAGAAATCTCAGACAAAATAATGGTTATCAAAAATTGAGATTTTTCGAGATATCTCATATGACCCTCCTAGCCCTATTTTTTAAATGGAAAGGCCGGATTTTTTTGGAAAAACAAAAAGATCGTGAACCACTCTAAAAGAAACCAACATAAAATCAAATTTTAAAGGAGTAATAAAATTAACAGAAGCAAAAAAAATTTTTTTAATTACAATGGATAAATGAATCAATCACTAACCCAATCCTATAGGTAAACAAGAAATATTTGCGAACATCAGAAAATATTTACGGACAAAAAGTTGCGGAATTTAAAAAAATTAAAACAAACCTCAGCAAATTGTTTTTTAACAAAATTAGCAGTCCTAAAAACATGCCAAGAAAATGCTTTATCTCTACTTCCCAATTTTTGAATTAAATTAATTGTTTCATTACAAGTTCCAAAATTAAAAACTTCATCTGCACCAATATGGAAATAATTCATTCCAAAACTTGAATTAAATTAAAATTTTAATTATAAAGACAGTAGATCAATTCCAAAGAAAACTGGTCCAAAAAACGGGAAAAATTGACTGGGCCCTTAATAAGGAGGTTTCAAGTAAAATAAATAAATTTTATTCAGACCAAAGGGTATACAATATACCACTAAAATGGTTGAGTGTGTACAAATAAATGTGGAGTTTGGATTATAAAGAGTTTTAGACATTTAAAAGTAAATAAATAGGCACAAGTAGTTAAGTTAATTTAGGAGATATTTTAAATTTTTGCTTAAAAATGTGTTTATTTAAATTAACTTTTGTTTAAAAAGGGAGAGAGAAAAAAATATTTGTATATGTGATTGTAAAAAAAAAAAGTATGTAAACTTAAAAAAATATAAATGTATTGATAAAAAATAAATTGTTGAAAAATATGTGAACTAACTAAAAAATAAATGGATTGACAAATATATGTATTTGGGGGGGGGGGGGGGGGGTGGAAAAGGCGTAAATTAAAAAAACATGATGAGTGAAGAAAAGGTTAAAACGCTCATTAAATTGCTAGGTGAAATTGTAAATAAGTTAAGGGCAATATACCCATACTTTTAGTCAAATTATGGGATTAATTCAGGGATTCTTCAGTGATTAGGTTTGAAATTTGGTTTGTTGAATTTAAGGTAGTATTTTTAATTTTAACAGAATTTGCGGTAGGCTATGTTTTAAATTAATTTTAAAACTATTTAATGTATGCCCTATGAATATATTTCTTGGGATTAGATTCCAAATATTTACTGTCCGGTTAATGAAAGAATTGATTGTTTTGGCATTCTTATTTGAGACTTGAATGATAAAATCATGCTTTCTACTTGGACGTGTATTTAATGTGAATAGCTCTTCGGGGTTTAAACTGGTATGGTTAAATAGTATCTTATACATTGTTATCACGTCTATATAATACCTTCTGAATTGTAGGGTTTCGAGTTGAAATAATTTTAGTCTGTCCGTGTATTTAAGATATTTTCTTCTGCATTTCAAAAGGGCTGACTTAGTAAAGAACTTTTGCACCTTTTCTATATCTTTAGTTAATTCCTTAGACATTGGGTTCCATATAGGGGACCCGTATTCTAGTGTAGGGAGAATATATGTTTTAAAAAGATTACCCCATATTTTAGGATCGGATGTATGAATATTTCGTAGTATTTGGTGGGATCTTAAGAATCCAAGTTTGCATATGTTTTTTATATGTTTTTTGAAGGTTAATTTATTGTCTATAAGTATGCCTAGATCTTTTATTACTTCGACATGTTGTAACTCATGGTCTAGGATATTGTATGGTATTTTTGGGTTTTTATTACCTAGATTGAATATAAAGGATTTATTAAGTGATATATTTAGACCCGAATCTATCGCCCATGAGTAAAGGATATCGATATTTTCCTGCATGTTAGTATTTTGTGTGTTGTAAATATGGGTGATTTTAATGTCATCGGCATATAGCGATGCAAATATATTTTCTCCTAATTTTGACGGGAGGTCATTTATATATATTGTAAACAATAAAGGTGCTAAAATCGATCCCTGGGGAACTCCTGATAATGTTGGAAATACGCTTGACTCTTCGTTATTTATTCGCACAGCAAAAGTACGGTTTGTAAGAAAATTGCCTTTTCTATATCTTTAGTTAATTCCTTAGACATTGGGTTCCATATAGGGGACCCGTATTCTAGTGTAGGGAGAATATATGTTTTAAAAAGATTACCCCATATTTTAGGATCGGATGTATGAATATTTCGTAGTATTTGGTGGGATCTTAAGAATCCAAGTTTGCATATGTTTTTTATATGTTTTTTGAAGGTTAATTTATTGTCTATAAGTATGCCTAGATCTTTTATTACTTCGACATGTTGTAACTCATGGTCTAGGATATTGTATGGTATTTTTGGGTTTTTATTACCTAGATTGAATATAAAGGATTTATTAAGTGATATATTTAGACCCGAATCTATCGCCCATGAGTAAAGGATATCGATATTTTCCTGCATGTTAGTATTTTGTGTGTTGTAAATATGGGTGATTTTAATGTCATCGGCATATAGCGATGCAAATATATTTTCTCCTAATTTTGACGGGAGGTCATTTATATATATTGTAAACAATAAAGGTGCTAAAATCGATCCCTGGGGAACTCCTGATAATGTTGGAAATACGCTTGACTCTTCGTTATTTATTCGCACAGCAAAAGTACGGTTTGTAAGAAAATTGCCTTTTCTATATCTTTAGTTAATTCCTTAGACATTGGGTTCCATATAGGGGACCCGTATTCTAGTGTAGGGAGAATATATGTTTTAAAAAGATTACCCCATATTTTAGGATCGGATGTATGAATATTTCGTAGTATTTGGTGGGATCTTAAGAATCCAAGTTTGCATATGTTTTTTATATGTTTTTTGAAGGTTAATTTATTGTCTATAAGTATGCCTAGATCTTTTATTACTTCGACATGTTGTAACTCATGGTCTAGGATATTGTATGGTATTTTTGGGTTTTTATTACCTAGATTGAATATAAAGGATTTATTAAGTGATATATTTAGACCCGAATCTATCGCCCATGAGTAAAGGATATCGATATTTTCCTGCATGTTAGTATTTTGTGTGTTGTAAATATGGGTGATTTTAATGTCATCGGCATATAGCGATGCAAATATATTTTCTCCTAATTTTGACGGGAGGTCATTTATATATATTGTAAACAATAAAGGTGCTAAAATCGATCCCTGGGGAACTCCTGATAATGTTGGAAATACGCTTGACTCTTCGTTATTTATTCGCACAGCAAAAGTACGGTTTGTAAGAAAATTGCTTATCCATCTGTGTATTTTACCTCTGATTCCGTACGCATATAGTTTGTTTAGTAGGTGTTGTGTGGGAACCTTATCGAATGCTTTTTGTAAATCGATGTATATTACATCTATATTTTTCTTATGGAGTAGGCCCTCATACCATTTGTTAAGAGTGAGTATTAGTTGTGTTACCGTGGAACGCTTGGGTAGGAAACCGAATTGATTTTTAGACAGTAAATCGTTCTCGATTAAGAATTTCATCACTTCTGAATAGATTATTTTTTCAAAAATTCTACAAGTAGTAGAGGTTAGTGATATAGGTCGATAATTTTTAAGGTCTGATCTGTTTCCATTTTTGAATATAGGTATAATTGTTGAGTGTTTCCATTTTTCTGAAATTTCCCCAGTATCTAAAGAAATACGGAAGATTTCACATAAGCTAGGAGCAACTATGTCATGAAGATTTTTAAAGATTTTGTAAGGGATATCATCTTGCGTGGATGAGTTTTTGTTAGGAAGTGCTTTAAGTGTGTTGGCAATAGTTATTATGTCAAAATCTATGTCCTCTAGTGTGTTTTTACAAGCTGTAGTGAATGTTAGTTTTTGATGGTTATTGGGTATGTTTTTAAATAATTCGGAAAAATAGGTTGCAAAAGCTTCACATTTTTTTGCATCTTCTATTATGTATTCATTGTTACTGATAAGTACTGGGATAGTTTGCTTAGATTTTATGGATGTTTTTATGTGTTTATTTATCAAATCTTTATTATTGGAAATTCTGGACATGGATTTATTTAAATAATTTCTGATTAAGTATTTAATTTTATTCGACATTTTATTGTATTCGACTCTTAGTGTGGGGTTTTGTTTAAGTTGCTTGAAAAGTTTATATTTATCTCGAATTGCTTTTTGTATATAGACAGGGTATTTGAGGCCTAATTGGGATTTGTTGTGCGAAACAGGAATATTTTCTTCAATTATTGATTGAACAAGTTTGAAAAAGTTATCGAATTTGGCGCTAACAGAGTTAGATATGTTTGGGATTATTTCCATTAGGTAAAAGTTATAAGCTAAAATTGGTTTTATTTGGTTAATGTTGGCTTTACTAAAAGCACGATAATTGTTATTTTGTGTCGGTTCTTTTGTTATATCGATCTCAAAGTCTATGCGGAAATGGTCAGAAGTTGAAAACCCATCTTTAATTTGGATATTATCGACTAATTTATTTTGGTTAGTTATGATTAAGTCAAGAGTAGAGCCAGAAATGTGCGTTGGATCTTTAATAAGCTGATTAAATCCATAGTTAGTTATAAAATCTAAAAATAACTCGTCCATGGCAACTGAACAAGAATGTGTGTTCCAATTGATTTTAGGTTTGTTTAGATCGCCACAAATGATAGTGTTAGGTGTATAGTATTTTGTGAGTGTTTTTATTAATTTTTCGTTAGAGTTTTTTGTTAAGTTTGGCGGAAAGTATATTAATATAAGGCGTGTGTTTGGGTAACCTTTTCTGATGATGTCAATAATGATTAGTTCGTAACCAAATTGTGTTTGGGTATAGACTTCTGCTGCTTTTATTGGATTTAGTGTTAAAATAGCTACCCCTCCTCCCTTTTTTTTCTTTAGAGAGGATCGGTTACAAATAAAAACAGAGTATTTTCCTTTAACATTTAGTTCATTAGAAAGCATAATATTATCCTGTATCCAAGTTTCTGTGACACAAATTATATCAAATCGATTTAGTGATATAAAATTCTTAAATTCAGTAATTTTGTTAATGAGGGATCTGCTATTAATTAGAACGCCTTTAAGTTTATTATGAGTTTGTTTAACCTTATTATAAGTATTAGCATTTGTTCTGTTAGAATTAAAAATACTAGTTATTTGGGAATTTTGTGTTATTTTTGATTTATATAAAAGTTTATTTTTTTCCTTTAAATAGTGTTGAATCCCTAAATTATCCTATGGGAGAGATTTTCGGAAATTGGGAATATTTTCGCGAAGTATGATTGTATTTGCATAGATAATCCAATCACCTTTATCTACGGACCTTTTTTGTGCACATTCAGCCTGCAATTTTTTACGATTGGTGCGTTCTTCCAATGTCATAGATTCTCTAATGCCCAGATTCCGGAATATTGGAGATTGTTTAATATTGTTGCGTTGTTTAGACCAATTTCGAAGAGTGGTTGTCTGAAAATATGAGGACGGAAAAACGACTTTTAGAAGAGGTGGTGCACCTTTACGGGTTGGGAGATCCTTGCCTAATCTATATACAGATTGTGGACAAATCTCGATACCCAACTTATCGAGAATACAATTGACATTTTGTCGATCTTCATTTGCTCTAGCTGATGGTAATGTTTGAGTAGAAGAGGGGAGCCCCGAAATTACAACAGACCGTTTCCTTTCTTTTTCAGCAATAGAATTGTCAATATTTTGCTGGGAAATTTGTTGGTTCTGAGCCATATCAGAGATTATACACCCAGCAGTTTTTAAGAGGTTATTGAGTTGTGAAATAATAGTTTTGGCAGAGTCTGATATTGTGGGGTCTTCTTGAATAGGGTCTAAATTTAAATTAGCAATTTGATCCAGAAATTGTTGTCTTTTTGCTGGCATTTCGGGCGAAAGAGATGTCAACGGACGTTTAATTGGAGTTTTGTTGGAATTGGTGGTAGAATTTGGATTATAAAGAGTTTTAGACATTTAAAAGTAAATAAATAGGCACAAGTAGTTAAGTTAATTTAGGAGATATTTTAAATTTTTGCTTAAAAGTCCGGCAAAATTTCTAAGAATTGGAAAAAATTTATTCTATTTTAATCCTAATACACTGCTCCACATAACTATAAGTTCACCCTAAATTTTCGTTTTTCTTAGCTTCTTTCAAATCAATCGGGCTGATTTTTATTATATATTTATTAAAGCTGGTAGCAATTCATATAAACCCGAGAAATCAAAAAAAATTTCCATTAAAAATTTTTTTATCCAATTTTTTCAAAAAACACCCTCCACATAACTATAAGTTCACCTACAGAAATCACATAAGGAATGCTTGAAAAATTCTACAAAAATTCATGCAAACATTTTCATCGATAATAAGTAAAAAATAAAAAAGAACGAAGTCTGTAAGTGCTTTTTTCATCGAGATCCAAAATCTCGAAAATCAACGGGAAATAGGGGCTACAGTACTTTAAAAATATTTTTACAAGTGTAGACTGTAGATAAAATTTTTTCTTATATTCCATCTGAAAGCCCACAAAATTTGCTACAAAAAACACTTAGTCCTATCATAGGGAAAAATTTCATCACTGAGGAGACAGCGGTTAAATTTAGAAACTCGAAATAATGACATTTTGTGGGGTGATTTGGGAGAATTTATTCATCATCTCATTTAACCGGTGTCTCCTCAATGATAAAATTTTTCCCTATGATAGGACCAAGTGTTTTTTGTAGCAAATTTTGTGGGCTTTCAGATGGAATATAAGAAAAAATTTTATCTACAGTCTACACTTGTAAAAATATTTTTAAAGTACTGTAGCCCCCATTTCCCGTTGATTTTCGAGATTTTGGATCTCGATGAAAAAAGCACTTACAAACTTTGTTCTTTTTTATTTTTTACTTATTATCGATGAAAATGTTTGCATGAATTTTTGTAGAATTTTTCAACTATTCCTTATATGATTTCTGTAGGTGAACTTATAGTTATGTGGAGGGTGTTTTTTGAAAAAATTGGATAAAAAATTTTTAAATGGAAATTTTTTTGATTTCTCGGGTTTATATGAATTGCTACCCGCTTTAACAAATATATAATAAAAATCAGCCTGATTGATTTGATAGAAGCTAAGAAAAACGAAAATTTAGGGTGAACTTATAGTTATGTGGAGCAGTGTATAAACATTTCCCTTTATATATAATATCGATAGGCCTTTATTCTTGGCCTTTATTAAAAATTCTTAACATAGGGGACAAATGGAATAAACTCTCCTTAATGCTAAAACTCTTAATAGTAAAGGAATAAATGCTTAAAAATTGAGGGTAAACAAAGAATCTTAGAGACTGATCAAATTCTAGCATGATCTATATGGCTTAAAAAATTTTTTTCAATTTAGGAGGGTAGAGCTACAAAAATTTTATTGTGTGGTATAAAACTAAAAATAAAATCTCTTCTAAATTAGGGACAAAATGATCTATTATATTTTAATCCCCACGTTTCCCCGTCCTTTGTTAAAGATTCCCATTCATATAAAAAATTAAAAAATAAAAATTCCTAACAATAAGTAGATCAATAAAATTCCAAATTAAATTAAAAAAAAACCGTTTATGTACACTAGCAACTTGATTGATCATATCCATTATAATTTGCCATGATTCTTCCGAACCAATACAAATAACCTTTTTAAACTTTTTTCAATTAAAAATTAACAAAAAAACCTGTGGATACAAAGGATCATCCCTCAAATGTTTAAATTCATTTAATTTAAGTATCCATTCCAAATGTCCAAAAGTTTGCACTAAAGGGACTATTTCAAATTTATATTCTTTTGCTGCAGCAAGCATTTTCTCTACCTTGAAAAAATTTTTTTAAATAGAAAATTTTGAATAAGGGAAACTCCAAGAGTTGGTAAAAAATTATGTTTAACGCTTCTTATCTACTATGACAAAAAATATGGTAGGGAAGAGAAAAAGCCGGCCCAGGTTTCAAAAATTTTTCGAGTCAGGTTTTAAAGTTTCTTCTTATCGGGTTCGAGTCGAAAGAAGTCCAGGTTTAGATTGTCGATTCATTTCTGTAACCTATGAGAAACAAAACAGTAAGAGGTTGGAAGCATACAACACATAAAAAAATTAGAATATTTACGGGAACCCCTTCTTCAGTTTAAAAAAATTAAAAAAAACCACAAACCTCATCCATTGTATAAGCATCACCATTAATTGCATTGGCAAGTCTTCCTTTATAAGGGAACATATCTTCCCATTCAATAAGTAATCCATTAAACCCCATATTTTGTAAAAGAGGTAATAAAGAAATAAAATATGAAGGCTAAAAAAAATTTTAAAAATTAAAAAAAATTAAAAACAAACTTTTGGAGGCGCTCCTTTAAAATCAAAATGCATCCACAAATTAATTGGAACAAAATTTCCTTCTAATGTAAGTCTGGGATAATCCTAAAAAAGGAAGCAAAATAATTAAATAATAGAGAAATGGTTTAAAAAAATTTTCAAAAAAAAATAAAAATTTTTTGAAGTCAAAAAATATTTTTAAAAAATTTGCAAACGTCAATTAGAATAAAATAAAATATCTTTCCCAACAAACGGACTTAAACCCAGAACCTATCCTCAAGGGAACTCGGACATAAACAACTTAACCACAAGAGCACCAAGTTTAGACCCGGTTAATTTAGCTAATAACAAAATAATATTAACAAAAAAAAATATAAGGGAATTTTTTACAAGTTAAAAATTTGCTAGAAAGACCAGAAAAAATCCCCAAACATTTTTTCTCTGTCCTATCCAAAAAAATAAAAATTATTTTTAAAAATTAACCGAATGTTGTAAATCCAATTCTTTGATTGCATTAATTGCTGGATGTTTATTATTCTTTGCTGGTTGGATACGGACTTGTTTGACAGCCTTGTCTTGTTGGTCATTTTTTGTTTCAGCAGCTTTAAAAAATTTTTAAATTAAAAAAATTTTGTAAATTGAGAATATTTTTTGTATTTTTTTGGAACATTGAGTAAAAATTTTTCTTTTGTTAAAAAATTATGAGAATTTTCAGTAAATATTTTTGCGGACAAAGTGTTTCAGTCAAAAAACTTTAATAAAAAATTTTTAAAAAGAATATTAAATAAAATACCAAATACCTCCTTTACCGATGTTTGTAGATCGGATCCAAGAGTCTATAAATCAGACAATTTTCGACTCGGATATTGGACACGGATATCCGGGCGGGAATTTCCGACAAGATCTACTACCCCTACTTCCCCCAAAAAATTTTTTTTTCTAATTTAGAAACCTTTAAGTTGTCCCAAGAGAACCTCATTTTGTGATTTACATTCAATTTCTGAATTCCTCAAATTATTTAATTGGGATTGAGCATCTAAAAATTTATATAAAAAATTAATTTTAGAAAAATCCAAACCATTAATTTCATTTTTTAAAATTAAAATTTGTTGATTTTTTAATTCAAATTGATTTCTCAAAATTTGTAATTCATCATTAAAATTAGTCGAATAAATATAATATATTAAAAAACAAAAAGAAGCTGCCAAACAAATTAAACTTAAAAATTTTATTTTTGGCATTAAAGTTGTTGATTTGTTACTACACCTTAAAAATTAAAAGAAAAATTTTTTTAAAAAATTTTTAAGAATTGAAAAGAGGTACTCACTTTTGCGGACACTTTTTGCGGACTTTCTGCAAATTTCTCGCGGGATGTTTTGTTCATTTTTATAGTTGAAAGAAAAATTTTGAAGAAAAAATTTAAGGCAAGAAATTACATTTGCGGACTTATTTACGTTTGCGGACTTTTCCCCAATTTTCTATCTGTTTGTCTTTTCTAGTTTTCTCGTTGAAAAACAACAAAATTGGGAAGTAATGGGTAACCAGATATTTAAAAGATAAAAAAATTTGGGAAATCTTTTCCGACCCGAAGCCCAATTCGAAGAAAATTTTAAAAATACGAAACGTAACCCGACATGCCTTTTTACTTAATCCATAAACAAAGGAAAAACTAAAAAGAAAAAAGTCAGCAAAAAGAGTATACAAAAGTGGTCACCCCATCATTCCCAAATAAAAAATTTAAAAGATAAAAAATTAGGGAAATTTCTGAAAAATCGATTTATTTTAACAGGTGTGAATTAGTCAAGTAAGCCCCAAAATAATTTAAATGCAAATCCAAAAATAAATAAATCAAAGGAAAACCAAATTCTTCCCCCCAAAATTTTAAATTTAATTCACTCCTTTCCCCCCAAAATTCCCCACCTGCCTACTTTTCAAAAAAGAATTAACACCCCAAAATAAAATCAACTAACCGCATTATACGCCGCCAACAATGAAAATTCATGGAATGTGTTGACACACCTTTTTTGCTTTTTTCTTGCTTATTTTTGATTTTATTTTGATGTTTTAATTGATTCTCTTCTCCTTTTTTATTTCTATCTATTGTTGCCAGTCAAAACATTTTCTTCCTTTTTTTATTACATAAATAGCACTTTAAAAAAAATAATTTTTTAGTAAAGCGAAGGACATTAAATGAAAGGACATTAAAATAAAAAAGAAAACTTGGCGGAGGAAAATTATAACGCGTGGGTACCGCCCAAAACGGCGCGCAGCCATAACGGCGCAAAGCCATAACTTGCTGGAAAATTTTTTACCCTTAGCAATTTTGTTACCAATCTCTCTAACTCGTTGAGAGTAATCGTTTAATACTAAATTTGGTAAGATTTGGAAATCTTGAAGCAAGTTATGGGTTTGCGCCGTTATGGCCGCGCGCCTACTTGGGCTTACCCAAATTATGCGTAGATTATTAGAGTCTCAACTAGTGGACAGTAAAGAATAATTATGTAGCATTTGGCTAAAGCCTCGGCTGCAAATTATGGCTTATTTTGCTTTTAAAACCCCTAAATATTTTAAAAATATGGCTCGACTTTTGAGGATACTTGACTGTAAACTAACATAAGCATAAAGTCAATGATAGAATAAGAAAAAAGTCCTAGGAGACTTATTTTATTTAGGTGACCACTCCATTTATTCGCAAGCTCAAAATGGTCAAAATAACCCTATGGTCGTCGGGGAAACGCTTGTGGGTTTTGCGGCACGCGTCTCGCGGGAGTCAACAGCCGCTTGGTCTTTGCAAACAGTAACATAGACCTAGTTGTTGCTTGCGAATACAAGGGTTGATTGGCGAATAAATGGAGCAATAATTGGTGTGTTTCGCGATAAAATGGGGTGGATACCTGAAGTAAATAAATTCCGGATAGCCTTTAAAAGTATGTAAAAAGGAGAAGAAAATCGGTATAAAAAATATAGATGTGTTAAACAAAAAGTGTAAGAAATTCAATTCAATTAATTTTATTTTTATTCATTTTAAAACAAAAAAAAATATTCAAAAATTGTGTAAAATTTTACAAAAAAATATCTTCCAATTTTAATATCACTTTTAACGACTTTAAAGACCACACGCACAATTTCAGACATTCATTCAACTAAAAAATACTCCAAATTTTAAATTTATTCAAAAAAATAAAAACAAACTTGAACAGTCTTTGCGTGTTGAAAAATAGAAAATATCAAGACAAAAAAAAGTTCTCTCAAATTAAACCTAAAAAATTTAAAAAAAAAACAAATAAAGCTTTGCGAAAGTATAAAACAAAAATAGCTTTGAGAATATTAAAATTAAATAGATGGCCCGGATTAACATGTGGATCAGAGACTAATGAAAATCGTTCCTCGAGGAATAGACTGATTAAACACAAAAAGATGAAGAAAGTGGCAAATCCCACTCGTTTCACGATTAAACCGTTTTTCCCTATTTTCTTTTGGATTTTATAGTAAGCCTTATAGGGAGGGGAGTTCTTTAGTTTTCAATGAAATTTAGTTCGAAATCAGAAAATAATAGGGAAAATTAAAAGTTAAATAGGAAGTCCTGACTATTTAAATGCAGGTAATAGATGTGGATGCCCCCAAGTTCCCACACTAATCAACCAAAAATTAAAAAAAAAATAAAAAGAAAAAACCTTTTTTTAAGTCGACATTGAAAAGAATTCGAAAAAACCCACAAATCAGAGCACAGCAATTAAAGCTAGAGTTGATTGAGTTCCCACATAGGCAATATAAATTGACCAAATATTAAATTCATCCCAAGTAGCGAGACAAAAACTTTTAAAAAAACACAAAATAAAATTCCCGAAAATTCAAAAAAAAACCTTAAAGGAGTTGAAATGAAGAAGAAAATAGTCAAAAATTGAATTGAAAAAAGAATCCAATGCCTTGTCAAAATTTTTAAATTCTTCAATAGAGTAAATATAAAGGTAAGAAATACAATAAGTAAAACACATAAAGCCATAATTTGAAGAAAAAATCTAAAAAAATGAGTAAAATTTGTAAAAATTTTTCTCAAACAAGAAATGCCAAAATAAAATTTAAAAAATTTTTCCAAGAATGTGCCCCAAAGAACAAAAGGATAACCGAACACGGGATTCGAACCACACCAATATTTGACTGAAAACCTAACACTTAACCACTAAACCACCAACGCTTTATAGTCATATGAAAAATTAACCTATTTATTTTCCGACTAAAAATAAGAGTTGCAGGTAAATCATAATAATAAACTGTGAATATAAAACAAATCCACCAGAGAACGTCCTCTACCTAAAAAATAAGAACAAATTTTAGAGTTTTAATTACCTAATATAAAAAACGATAAAATGTAAGGGTAAAAAGCATTCTTTATGCAACAGAAATTTCAGTTTTGTTAGTCTCTAGGAGCAATGTTTGAAACCTCGCGTCTTTTTAATTCCCAAAAACAATAAGAAAACACCCAAGCCTAATTTAATAGCTCTTCCCCTCCAAAAAATCAAAAAAATAAAAACAAACTCTAATTCCTCTACTTTTGCCTTGATTCAAAGATAAATTTTCGCATTCCTCCTCCTTTCTTCTTTCATTCAAAACAATGTTAGAATTGATTAGATCTTTCAACGTTCCATTTGACCTATTCTTTTGATTTAAATTCTTTCTAGCACAATTATTTTGGTTTTTAATAGCCATATTATTGCCTCGATTCTGATTTAGATTCGTATTAGACATATAATTATTGCAATTCCTCATTAACTTTAAAGCTTTAAAAAATATTTTATGACTTAAAAAACAAGAGGAACGAAAGAAAAATTTTTTTTGGATTAAAAATTAGCCAAATTAAATAAAATCTTCAAAAAATACAAACAAAAAAGCATTATTTTATTTTAAAAAATAATAATAAATGATATATTTAATATAAAAAAACAATTCTTGGGAAAAGAATTTTGACTGATTTATTTTTAGAGAATGGTTCCACCACTCTTGAAAGATATAAATAAATAGTGAAAAATGAGAAAGGTTTTGCAAAATTAAGGGGGTTTTAATAGGAGGGAAATATAAATTTATACTATTTTTATTTTAAAATTTACTATTTACTGAGGAAAATAGTAGAAGTCAAAAAAAGAGTATTTATTTTATTTGTGTGTTCTCGCAAAACCAAAAATTAAAAACAACTTGTGTGTGTATAGTAAACTATAAAAATGTAAAAAAATACAAAAATCAATGTAATAGTAGGAAAAAATTGTGAGTAAAACGAAGAACAAAAAAATCGAAAAAATAAAAGTGTATATAGTTGTAGTGTTGCAAAAATAAGCATTAAATGTTGGTGAAAAAAGTAAAATAGTGGAAAGGAAATAGGGGACAAGTCGGGGAACTTAAAAAAGAAACACTATTTATGAGTCACCACGAAAAGACCAAAAGATCAATCAAGTAGAAATCTCCTTATGAAACAGATGAAAGACAAGGAGAATGTCTTTTTATTAAAGCTGAACTGGCCTAGGCTATTTCTCTCCTTCAGCTAATGCAAAAGGCAAACTTGGTAATGGATATGGATACTTGGTAATGAATTCCGGTTTGCCCGGAACCGGTTTGTAAATTGGAGCCGGAACTGGATTCAATTTAAGTTCCGGTTCCCGGAACCAAAAAACACCGTAACTTTCCGGACCGGAACTTCCGGTGAAACTCTAATACAGACAATTTAAAAATGTCTGCGGATATCCGTGTGTATCTGCCGTAAATATCCGAATACCAAAATCCATGTCCATTACCAAGTCTGGCAAAAGTGTAAAAAGAACACAGCATCTCGGACTGATATGTTATCTATTTATCAGAATGAGGTGCCGCTTCTTGCATAGCACCTTAGGAATTAAATAGTTACGCCTATATGCTTAACATTATATGTATGTAAGAAATTTTTTTGAAATATTTTACTTGTTTGTCAAATAAAGCCCTTTTTTTATTGGGAAGGTGATCTTTTGGTTGTTTTTATCAAAACAAACACAAAATTTCTGGCAGTGGACAAAAAAAAATAAATAAATGGTGAATGCTAGGCGAATGTTTTTGAGAAAAAAAAAGAGAAAGAATAAACCAGAAATCGATCGTATTTTAAAATAAATATGTAAATATTTAAAAAAAACATTTAGCCTAATAATCTTTTGAGATCATTGCTGTAAAAGTTATATATTTGGATTAAAACAAGATATGGAAAGATAAAGGCGAAAAAAAGCAGATAAAGAGCTCTTAAATATTCTTTTTTTAATAAAATTTTCAAGTTTTTCATTGAAATTTCCCAAACTATACTAGAAGGCTAAAATAATGTATTTTTAGGTGGACTAAATTTGTGTTTTTTTTATTGAAGCAGCATTTCACCTTTGGGTTTGTTTTCAGTCTAAGTCGAAGAACCCTGCAGAGTTGTTTCGAAGAAAAAAAATCTCTGAAAATCGAAAATTACAAAATTTCAATTTTCGAAGATTTTTTTTTTGTTTCTAAAAAACTTTGGGCAAGTCCTCGACGAGACAAAAAAAACAAAAAAAAAATAAACACTGGTGAAATGTCCCTTCATTATTCCAAAAAGGTTGTAAGCTGACGAAAACTTTAACAATTTCCCAACAATTCTTTTTTCAGAGGTCGGAGCTTTATCTGCTTTTTTTTAATAATTTTTTTTTATTTTTTAGCTACTTTGCCTCCCCGAAGAAGACAAAGTACTAACATTAACACCCATCATAGGTTGCCGACTGGGACGATTTGGAGCAGGCGAAAAATCATAATAAGTTTCCTTATCTATAGATAATTTATTTGAATTATTCCCACAACCACCACTCCTTGCTGTTGTTGAACTAACATAAGCATCACTTTGTTCACTCATTTCACCATCAGCATCTTCCAATTCATCCTCCCTTTCTTCTTCTTCTTCATTGTAATTAGTAGCTACCCCATTTTCTATTAATGGATGATTCTGCTCTGAACGTTCCTCATCTTCAATTAAGCTAACTCTATTACGAGCACTTGAACAACTTGTTCGATCACGCTCTAAAAATAAAAAAAAGGGAAAAAACGTTAAGAAAAATCAATGGAAAAAAACATTTTCTTGTTTTTTCTTTGTACACAACATGTAAAAATTTTATTAAACACAATCGGGCCTTTATTTTACGTAGACCCTTAGAGTTTAAAGGATGAAGGACACCACCACTTATAATGAGGGACCACACAAATTTTTAAAATGTTTGTTAAATTGAGGTATGACTGTAATAGAAAATTTAATTTCATCCGTAAAAAAACTTTTTGAAATCGATACGAAGAAAAATTGCCAAAAAAGGCTCAATCGTGTTTTCTTATTATATCCGTGATGTGGAAATTTATTGGAAGGAAGATGGAATAGAAAGAAAATCATCATAGACTGAACCTAGACCGAAACACAACCATTTTTTTGTGTTCTACAAGTGGCAGAACAACTAGGGTTGTCGGTTCTGGACCGAACCGAAGAACCGAGGATTTTTCGGTTCGGTTCTTCGGTTCGGATCCGGATATCCGAAGATTTCCCAGGAACTGACAATCCTGGACACAACACTTTTAAATACAAAAACATATGTGTACCTTCACGTTTTCTCCTACGAGAGCTTGCTTCAACAACCAATTGATGAATAGATTCAGTCATTACTGGATCATATTGAGGTGCTTCATCTAAATTATTATTGTTTGATCCTTCACAAGAATGTACATAAGATATTTCTGTTTGGGGACTTTCTTGTTGTTGTTGTTGTTGCTTTTGTTGTATTTTTCGTTGATTATTAAAGCATTCTTCTTTTGGATTTGTAGAAGATTGACGATTTGAAGTAGCAACACTTTTACTTCTTCCACCTATTTATTTAAAAAACATTTTAAAAATTGCCCCATTTTTAGTCATTTTATACAGTTGAAACTCAGAATATACGCCTTTAAAATTAAATAAGGGGTACCACTAAAGAAGATACCTAGACCCAAATCTTAACTAAGCGTAATTTAAATAAAAGTCAGGGTGTGTGAATTGATAACAACAAAGTTTTGCCAAATTTTCGTCTTTCTGGCGTTTCGCCTTTTATTTTGAGTTTTTTATATCTCGGCACTAATGGGCCCGGATATCCGAGGATTCCCAACTATCCGACAATACTCGACGACCCCATGGGGTATATAAATCATTAGGATCCTGCCATCCTAATTTATGCCAATAAAGAAGTTCAAATGTCTTTTAGATGGGGAATTCCTATGATTCCCCAAAACGAGAATTTATTTTTCAATGTCAGCAGGATTACTTGTTTAACTTATAGAGAAAGATCAGTTTTATATTTTAATTTAAAAAACAAATCTTTAATCCACCTCCATTATTTCTCCTTTGTGTAGAATGTCCAGAATTATTCCTTTTCCCGTTAATTCCTCCTCCCCTACTTGTTGTCCCAAAATGTTGATGTTGAACTAAAAATGCTTTTCTAAGTCGTCGTTGTTGTAAAGTTGCGGCGGCGGCGATGCGCTTATTATTTTGTTGTTTGCTGCTGTTATGCCAACTATTTTCAAGTTCCAACAATTCATTGAAACTTTTATTGTTGTGGTGGTATGGCGCTGCTGGTCGCATCACCGCCGCTGAGGATAAAAAATGACGGGGAGGTTCTGTTGGTGCTGGATTTAATGGTAGTGAAGGCCCTTGACTTCTATTGCAACACAAATTGTTGTTAGCATTTTCTGGATTAATAAGTGTTGTTGTTGCATAAGGAGATGGATCTGATTTTTAAGGAAAATTTGTTTAAAAATTTATTGTCTCGTGGGGTAAAAAGTTGTAAAAAAATAAGGGCGACAGAAAAGGAAATTTAACGCCCTCGGATTTTTAAAATCTAGTCTAAACACAAAAACGTTGTTTTCTTGCAAACAACTTATAATAGTGCCCTCAACCCCTGTCTCTGGAAGATCTGTGAAGTAAGTCGCGTGAGCTCACGTCCCCATTCCCGAATTACACTGAAAGGAAACGTTGTTTTCTTGTTTTCTTGTGGTCGCCGTAAAATCGGTCCTCTCCATATAGGAACCCAGAAAATCCCCCTTAATTCACCCAGAAAATCCCTCCCCCTTAAGTCACCCAGAAAATCCCTCCTCCTTAAGTCACCCAGAAAATCCCTCCTCCTTAAGTCACCCAGAAAATCCCCCTTAATTTCCTTCCAAAAACAAAACAAAAAATAAAATAAAAACCATCATAATATTTTGGAGGTGTTTTTTGTTGTTTAGCAGCAGCAAAAGTACTTAAAGGACCACCATTTCGATCTAGAGAATTCAAATTATCCGGTAATTGTTTATAATGATAATGATGAGATGGGGAAATTGGGGGTGGGTCAATTATTTGAGAACCATCAGGATTAAACCGTTGTTGTGGTAAATGAAGATTTCCGGTATAATGATGCAAAGCATGGCCCAACTGAGAAAGAAAATGGAAATTTGTTTTAGTTTTTTAATACTTTATAAGGAAAATTTTGGTACCGGGGAATTTGATGAAAATTTTCACAATCACGGGATTAGTTTGGGGGATCAGAGCTAATTCAAAATACAAATAAATGTTCAAAAATAAGAATTCAAGGGAAAACCCGTGAGTCAAAATTTCAAAGCCGACCTATTTGAAACAATCCGGGAAAAGCTACAATATCCTAAATTCTATCCTTTAAATACAAGTTATATCCTAATATTAAATTTAGTTATAGAGTTAAATCCACATGTGAGCGAAACTTTTAGTTCCGAAGTTTCGTAGGTTTTCCCTGTCTCGTTTCAGTACAAAAACGATTTAGAAATTTTTTTGTCAAGTTGGAACTTCGCACTGGCCTTGTTCGAACAGCTTATCCCATTCTCAGACTATTCTCAACCCAAAGAAATTTTTGGGAGCCTAACCCAAACCTTGCAACAAAAAATAATATCAATTAAAAAACACCTGAACAAGTTCATTCCCTCCCGTATGCCCTCCATTTCTAAGCAATTCAGAAGAATTGTGCCCTATCAAATGATGACACCCACCACCTCCTCCCCCTCCTCTAACTAAAGTTCCAGTAAATGTTTCAACAGTTCCAGGATTATAATGCTGTTGTTGTTGTTCATGTGACGATGACCAAAAAGCATTTAAAGCATCCCCCAAAACTGTTGTATTTGGTGCACAAACACTTCCATCTCGAATTTTAATAAATTCTCTTTGTTCTTTTTCGTTTTCACCATTTCCTCTATGACAACATTTATACCAAAAAAATATCATTACTAAAAGTAGCAAACACCAAAGTAAAATTCCACAGCCTAAAACAGCCCAAGGTTGTCTATACCAAATACTATCGAGACGTTCAAACATTCGAATATGATGCTGTAAAGTTTCTTCATCTTGAAGGGAAAAAAATTTAAATTTAATTTTTACAGAAAAAAATTTGGGATGAAATGTCCAAAAATTTGAAAGGTTAAGAAAATATAGGGAGAGAAAGGTAAAATACTATAACTGAGCAGGCATCGATCCTGCACCTCCTCGCTGCGTTCTTCGAGTAAAAATGAGATACCGAGGCATTGCTTCACCTTGTCTTTTAATAGATCATAAACCCCTATAATTATAAACCCCTACAACCTCCATTACAAAGTTTCTTCCTTACAAGATTATAACACAATTTTTTGAGAATAATCTTGATCATTCCACAAAATTTAGGGATTTAATATAAAATTTCATATTCCTGACAGTTTTAAAAATTTTAGAAAACCGACATGAGACGTTTCCATCCTAACCTTTAACTTCTCTCTCGGAATTTTAATAAACCAGCCAATTATTTGAATAAATAAAGGACCCTTAATCTTACAATTCTCCCAACTTTTTTTACTGATTAAAAAAATTATTCAGACATTTTATCCCAAAATATTTTTTAAATGACTCCCAAAAATAAAAACTTTTTTTTGACACCAAAAAATTATAGTTGAAGAGATAAAGGACCCTTAATCATACAATTGTCCTAATTTTTTTCCTGATTTAAAATTTTTTTAGACATTTTATCCAAATATTTTTTGATGACATTTTATCCAAAAAAATAAAAACTTTTTTTTTGACATTTTATCTCCCTCAATAAAAATCTATCAAAAAAAACAAAACTTACTCATTACAACAGGCTCTTCATCAAAAAATATTCCAACCCCAGCATTTGTTCTTGCCGCAACACGAATTGCATAACTTGCATTTGGAATTAAACGATATAAAGTAACGCTTGTTGCTCTTTCATTTGTTGTTATATTACGATCTTCAACAGAGGAATGGTTACTTTTTATATTTATTAAAAATCCTTTTAAAATTCCGTTGATATGGTCTGTTGGTGGTGGACGCCATGATATTCGTAAAGAACTTATATTTAACATACGAAGACGAACGTCAGAAGGGGGCATTGTTGGGGCTAGAAAAATATAAAAAAAAATAAATTTTATGTCTTGTATTTTGGTTAGAAATAGGGTTGCCGTTTTCGAGTCGGGCCGACGGTCGAGTCATTTTTTTCGGGCTTCATTTTTATCGAGTCGGGTCAAACGAGTCTTTTTCGGGCTTCATTTTTATCGAGTCGGGTCAAACGAGTCTTTTTCGGGCATAATTTTTATCGAGTCGGGTCAAACGAGTCTTTTTCGGGCATAATTTTTATCGAGTCGGGCACCGAGACATTTTCGAGTCTTTTTTTAAAAGATTTATTTAAAAATAATTAGTGGATTTGGAGGGATATCTGTGAATTAAAAGGTATATAGATGGATCAGGAGGGTAAAGGAAGGGCTGAAGAGAATTGAAATGGATATCAGTGGATTTGAGGGATTAAGGTGATTTAATTTACCAGAGGATTGGGGTGAGATATTGCTAGATTTGGTTTTATTAAAGGAGATCAGATGATTAAGGTGATATATTGTAATGGGATTTAGAAGGAATGAGGAGATTTGAAGGGATATCGGGGATATCGTGCGTTATATATATATCGGGGATATCGTGCTGGGGGCGGGGCTAGAGAGTTTTTACTTCTAGAACATGACATTATCTAAGCTAGTATTTATTGGCAAATCTTGGTAAACTTAAGGACAATAATAGGGTTTTTACTTCTAGAACATGACATTATCTAAGCTAGTATTTATTGGAAAATCTTGGTAAACTTAAGGACAATAATAGGGTTTTTACTTCTAGAACACGGGGAAAATTTTCGGGGAGGCAGCGCCACGGGGGGTGGGGGGGGGACGCCTTCTTTTTTTACGCCTTCTTCATTTTTTGCGCCGCAGGCGAAAATTTTTGGGAATTTTGGAGGTCCTTAAGCCAGATTTCTTCCATTTTTTGCGCTAAAGCTGAAAAATCTAGAGTTTTGAATTTCAAAAAATAATATCAAAGGTTTAAAATCGTCTCTTGTATTAAAAAAAGTTAAGATAATCTGAAAATAAGTCTCAAACGATGATTAGTACTCGAACTCAACAATCCTTTAAATAAAATCCAGCGCCTTAACCACTCAACTAACCGCTCATTTAATTAGTTCTGAAAGAAAATATATTTCCCTTACTCAGTAAAAGAAATATCAAAGAGGAAGATCCAAAAGGAAATATTTATCGAGGACATTCGAGTCGGGCCAGTTTTTTCCGAGTCATTTTATTCGGGCTTCATTTTTATCGAGTCGGGTCATACGAGTCTTTTTCGGGCCTCATTTTTATCGAGTCGGGTCAAACGAGTCTTTTTCGGGCCTCATTTTTATCGAGTCGGGTCAAACGAGTCTTTTTCGGGCCTCATTTTTATCGAGTCGGGTCAAACGAGTCTTTTTCGGGCCTCATTTTTATCGAGTCGGGTCAAACGAGTCTTTTTCGGGCCTCATTTTTATCGAGTCGGGTCAAACGAGTCTTTTTCGGGCCTCATTTTTATCGAGTCGGGTCAAACGAGTCTTTTTCGGGCCAAATATCCTAGGCCCGACTCGATCTTTCGGTCCGAGTCGGGCCATTTTGGCAACCCTAGTTAGAAAAATTGCTAATTAAAAGTCATAAAATTAACTAACAATATGTAAATTATTTTAAAAAATATTTGCGGACTCTCATTTGCGGACAAGACTAACTCAAAGTATTAACTCGGAAAGGAATTTTTTGTGACTATAACACGAGCCAAAAAACCAAATAAACACATGAATAAAGCTGGCTGTTCGGATATGAAAAAATTTCGAGACATCAGGAAATTTTCGGTTTGGATATTAGTTCCGAATCACAAGGGCGTATCCAGGGGGGCTGGGGGGGGGGGGCTAGAGCCCTAGAGGGGGGGGGGGGCTAGAGCCCCCCCCCCCCAAAATGGGGAAAAGGAAAAAATTTGAGGAAGGGTTGGGGCAAAAAAAGTGAATTTTTTTGGCCTACGGCCTCTGAAATTTAAAAAATTTTCGCCTGCGGCGCAAAAAATGGAAATTTGGCTTCTTGAGCTCCACGATCCTTAAAATTTGCGCCTGCGGCGCAAAAAAGTGAATTTTTTTGGCCTACGGCCTTCCAAAATTCAAAAAATTTTCGCCTGCGACGCAGAAAAGATGAAAATTTATGTACAAAAAAATTTGTGTCCGGAACGCCAAGGTAAACGCCAAAAATTTTTGCGCCCACCCAGTGTTAGCCCCCCCCCCCCCCCCGAAACCGACCCCCTGGATACGCCCTTGTCGAATCAGGATACTCGAAATTTCCCAAGATCCGCAAACCTACAAATGACCCGTGTTTGAAAACTCATACCAAACTTCCCTCAAATAAAAAAAATAAATTTGAAAACTGACTAGCTTCCATTGTTGTCCCATCAAGCGAATTTGAAGGCATTCCTTGTATTTGATAATGATAAGGTATCACAAAAAATTCATAATTGTTAAAAGGCCTCAATCCATTAATGATTATGTGTTCAATTTCAGGATCGGTTACATTCACCCAACTGTGGTCGTGTGGTAAAGGAGGTCCACGCCATTTAATATAATAACCTTGGACTAAAGGCTCCTATAAGAAATTTTTTTTAATTTTGATAAAATAGCTACTTTATTGATATCCTCCCCCCCTCCCGCATTTGAGTCTCAGATTAATTTTCAAAATCAGGGCTTGACGCAGAAGTGGACTTTTGATTTGCGGAGTTAAAATAAAAATTGCCGACTGCGGCGAAAATTTTTTTTTCCAACTGCGGCAGCCTTGTTCTGAATGGTTGACTACCCTGTTGATTTTTGCCATTGACGTCTATATTTTCTCCCTAATTTATGCTCATCTACCTTCTAACTAAAATGCTGGAGAAAGGGAAATTAATCTGAAACTCAAATAGGGGAGGAGCGGAATATTAATAAGATACCAAAAAATTTAAAAGAAAAACCTTTTTCTGCCTTTTCCAACTTAATAGCATCGCTGAAGAATTTAAAGGTCTAACTTCTACTAATTTGACCAACTGTTCAGAAGAAAGTTTTTGTCGAGCAGTTTCCATGTCTAACATTCTTCCAAATTGAGAAGAGGTTTCACTACCTTCCTCAGGTTCTCTATATCCAATAGGCGTAGAAATTGTTACAAGAGAACTTGGTTGTGATGGTAATCCTATTCCTTTGGAATTTTCTGCCCTAATCAAGAAAATGTAGGAACGTCCAGGTCGAAGGTTTTTGATACGAAAACGGGTAGTAGTTACAACATCCATTATATTTTGCCAAGACTGAAATAGAAGAAAGAAAAAAATTTATAAATATAAAATTAAGATCAAAGCCTCTTGGAAAATTAAATAACTCAAAAATAACCCAAAATTTTTGAAATCTTCTATAATAACAACTTCACTGACAGTCATTCCCTATCAGAATCAGACGTGGGCGAAACGTTTCGTTTCGTTTCGTTGTTTCGTATGTTTCGTATGATTTTTACTGTTTCGTCTCGTTTCGTTACGAAACACTTTTAAATTTGTTTCGTTTCGTTTCGTTACGAAACACCTGTGATTTTTCAACGAAACGAAACAATTTTTTAAGCCTAAACTAAGGCCAAAATCTATAAAATTTACCATCTTTTATTGAAAATTTAAAAAATTTTCGCCTGCGGCGCTGAAAAAAAAAGAATTTCGGCTTCTTGGCTTTCCCAAATTGTCAAAATTTTCGCCTGCGGCGCTGAAAAAGGAAGATAGCAATTACTTATATACTACAAATCCGTTTATACTCCACTCCCTAATCCACATATACATATTACTTAATCGACGACAAATTCTATTACCGGACTCGCATCATAATTTAAAAATTGCGGATTGCGAGTTGCGGAAATACTGGAACCGGAACTTCCGGCGAAGCACTAGCTTATATCGCCTTCCTCTCGAAATGGAGATATGGAGACAATTTGGGTAGGCAATGGAGCAAGATAGTGAATTTTTTGGCCTACGGCCTTTCAAAATTTTAAAATTTTTCGTCTGCGGCGCTTAAAATAAAATTTTACTTGAAAAATATTCAATTTTATTTAAAAAAAAGCGTCGCCAAAAATTTGGCTTCGAAAATGATTGACCCCCCCCCCTTCCCCGAAAATTTTCCTTGCTACGGGCCTGGCTTATGGGACACAATTGTTGTAAATAAACCAATAACTAAATCATTTATAAGTCATAGTCGACTAATAACGTATTTGAGGTCGAATAATTTCGAAATAAATGCAGTTTTGAAAATTTTTTGAATATTAAAATGTTTCGTTTTGTTTCGTTTCGTTTCGTAAGATTTTGGTTGTTTCGTTTCGTTTCGTTAACGAAACGATTTTTAAAAAATTTTGTTTCGTTTCGTTTCGTCAGAAAAAAATTTTGAGTTTCGCCCAGGTCTGATCAGAATTGTTTCGAAATTTTCGAAGTTATTTACTCACGATTTCGGTATTTTTGATTTTTTCGATTTTCGAAGGCTTTTTTTCGAAACAGCTCTAGCCCCTATTTACTAATAGAGTTCCACTAGTCTAGTAAAACAGGGAAGGGAAGTATTGCCATCCACAAACAAAAAGTTCAAATAATACCAGAATTCACCTTGTGTGAGACAAGAAATTCTGGGATACCTTCCCCTCATTCTCCTAATATGTATCAAAAAATTCCTTCCCCAAAAATACCAAAAAATCCCCCCAAAAATACCTACCAAATAAAAAGAAAACATAAACAAACCTCTCCCATTTCAGGGCTCCAATATTGAATTATATATCCAACAATAGACGATGCTCCCTGCCTTTCAGGAGCTGTCCATTCCAATTCAACAATTCCATCATCAGAAATATTTAACAAATTTGGCTTTCCTGGAGACGAGGGAAGAACTGTTGCGTCAGGCATTCTTTGAAAATTTGTATTTCTATTTGTATGTTCTTCAACTACAAGAGATGATGTCCAAGTGGTTTCTCCATCTTCATTTGATGCTTTACATGTAAAAATTCCACTGTCTTCTTTCCTACATACATAATTTTCGTAAAAAATTTTTACCAAAAAATATTTTATTAACATTCTATCTTATTCCAAGAGCCGCAAAGAGCAGTCAAAAGTCAACAAATTAAGTTATGGTTTAACTTGGGATAATAGTTTAACTAACAGTTTAACTCCCATTTTTTCACTGACCATTTTGAGCTTTTTTGGATAAGGTATAATCTATTATTTATCATTCTAAAGGACTCTTCGAGCTGGACCGAATGATACAGGAACGGTTAAATTTTATGATTATAAACAAAATTAAGAAGCTAAATACTCGTTGGAAAAGCTTTTTGCGCAGCTGCAAGGATTAAAATAAACAGTCATAACTTTGTTAATTTAAATCAGATTACTCTATAAAAAACGGAAAAGCCATTGGGGAGGGGGCAAGCCAATATCCCCATTACATTTTTTGACCATTATGAGACCATAACTAGTCATAATTAGACCGGAGCTTATTTTTGATATCCTCGATTTAGCTCACCACCCTTTCGAATGAATCAATTTCCGTGACATATGGCGAAATTTTTCCTAGAAAATTTTTTTACTTCAAGTCTGATATTTGTAATGTCCCCATCGATTGTTGTCGATAACGATTTTTGTAATCACTCGAATTTAGATTTAAAGGCATATCATCTTTCATCCAATTAATTACAACAGGTAAACGTCCAGTTGCCTGACAGGGAAGTATTGCCATATCGTTAAGCATTAAAGTTTGATTCTGATGTCCATATTGAATGATTGGTGGAGGATGGGAAGTTGCTTAAAAATTAAAAATTTTAATTAAGTAGTCACGGAATGATAATGCTAATATTAAGGATGACAGGAATGTAATAGGGGTAGGTTTATAGAAGATGAAAACCCTACAAGGGAAGCTTGGGGAAAATTTCTGGAAAGAACAGACAACGGGGAGAGGCGTAAATATCGGGAATGAAAAAATTATCATCGCAGGCTATCAGAAAGGGCATAAATAAGGCAGCCGAATCCGGAGATCCGGCCCCGAAGTGTAGATCCGGAAATTCCCAATTCGGATATCCGTGGATTTTCCATGATCCGTCAACTCTCGTAATAACTCTAATAAAAATCATTTTTCAATGATTTTCTTAAGCATCAAAAATTTATTTTTTATTTACATTCATCTTCACACTGATCTGGTGTTTGAAGACATGATAGAGACAAAATAGTTGTTATATTTAATACAGATCCAAAAATCATTTAACAGAAATAAATAATTATATAAATTAAAATACATGAAAAAATCTATCGAATTTTGATTTAAAGTTGAGAGAAAATAAATTTAAAAAAAATATCCGACTTTTTTAATTGAATGTTTCAAACTTTTACAAGGAATATTTATATAAATAAAAAAAAATAAAAATCAACATTTGATGGGGGGGGGGGGGGTTGCGCTTATTTTCCCACCATCAAAAACATTCCTTTCTTTACCAAAAATCATTCAAAAAAAGCCTTGGGTTTCTCCAAAACAACCAAACATTTATGTATATTGCGTGCACCTTTAATTCCCCCCCCTTCCCCTCCTAATCGCTTGCAAGACTCACTCAAAAATTATAAATATATCCATCAAAAGGATTTTTAGGTTTTTATACTTTTTGCCATTGCCGCTCAACTATCTCTCCCTTCCCCGCATTATACCCAAAAATCATGAAAAGGAAGGACACAAAACACAAAAATGCTCTGACCTATCTCAAAGGATTAGCCTGAAAAAAATATTTTTTAATCCTCCTCTACCTTTTCTCTTTTTAGATTTTTATTGTTTTTAGCGTAGAAAAAAAAGTTGAAATCCCTTTTTTTTTGATGTGCGTAAAATTGTTAAATAAGCGTGATAAAAAAATTAGAAAAAGGGGATGCCGCGCATATTTTTTGTCAAGTAATTAAACGTTTTATGAGAACATGTTGCAAAAAAAAGTATATTTTTTCCTTTGGTATTTTATTGTTAAAATTGAGCACGTAATTATTTAACTGGTTGAGGATGCTTAAAAGATTTCTCTACGGCGTGGGGTTATACAAAAGTTAAATTACATCCAACAGAAATGAATAGACCCAAAAAATATTTTTGATCCAATAAAATACGGCATCTAGTTTTAAGACAGACACCTAAGGTATGAGCTTATCTAATAAATGATAACGTTTATCGTTTTAGTGTAATATACAAAATTTAGTGTGTAATATAGTGTAATATACAAAATCAACAAGAATTCATCTTAAAAAAATTTGACAAGGATTTAAAAAATATTTAGGTTAAAAAATTAAAAAATTCCAAAGGTGAACAGAATTAAAAGTGCAAGCAATAATGAAAATAGTTGATTGATGGGAGAAAACCCACCAAGGCTTATGTGCACAATTTTAGAAGGATATTGCAAATTTGGCAACATTTCTACAAAATCTCCCTTCTCGCATTTTAATGGGATTTTTAGCTTTAAACAAAAAAAGGACATAAAAAATTTTGTAAAAAATTAAAGAAGCCTCCCCAAATCTCTAGATAAAGAACAAAAAATAAATAAAAAATATTAATGAATAAAAAAAATTGATGAGAAAGGCATACATTAAAATATATTCCTCCCTCAAATAAGAAAAAAAAGAGGTAAAACTGACAGACACAACTGTTTTGGTATAAAATATTTAATTGTTTGCTGTAGTATTTAAAGGGGGGAAAAAACAGTGAAAGTGTCACAATAAAAAAAGATTTTTTTAGGTATTTATTTTAGTTTAAACTAAAATTATTCTCGCAAAGGATTATATATAAAGCAACACAAAACATATTTTTAAACATCGAGAGATAGGTAATTATTTTGAAAAAAACAAGAGAATTAAATGTACAGTCGAACCCCGATTTTAGGCACAACTTTTGTGTAGATTTGGGCTGTCAATTCAGAACTGGACTAAACCAGAGAACTGAGGATTGTTTAGTTAGACTATTCAGTTAGAAACGAGATATTCGAAGATATCTCTCAGGGACCAACAACATTAGTATTCTTACAGATAAAGCTAATATACCTTTTGATGCCGAGAAAATTCTATCATATAAGGAGACGTATTTTAAATAGCTCCCCATATGCGTAAATTGCTCCAAACTAAGGTTGGACCTCACCGGTTAATTTTTGCCTGTGGCGGTTCAAATAAAGAAGAATAGAAGCATATGAGCCGATACAGTCAAAAATTAATTAGTCGTGTCCAACTCTAACCAAATTAAAAAAAATCGTATTTTAGACTAGGGAGTCTAGTATTGGGGGTATCTTATAGTCTAGGTATATGCGAGGTCCGACCATATTGAGGTAAAAAATATTCATTTTACTATTTAAAAATGCAAATTTTCAAATAATAATTTATGAGAGCAACAACAACATGTGTTCAATGGCCATATGAATGAACAAAAAAGGACAAAATATTTTCAAAAAAATAATAAAAGGTAAGAGGGCTCGGATTTCACCTCTCAACGATTAACAATAAAAAAAGGGCCATTATTGTTTAAGAAAACAATAAAAAAAGAGCGATTAACCTTGCAAAAGAGGAGCGAGATTTTCATGCCCTAAAATTTACAAAAGAATAAGAAATTGTCAAGAGAATTTAAGAGGGAGAGGGGATATTTTGTTGATTTTAAAAATTATATAAAATATTCAAGAATTATTCCGAGAAAGATAAAAATAAATTAGACAAGTCAAATTAACAATAAAAAATAAATACTATAGAAGCTGGACGTTAAAGAATAATTTAATAAAATTTAAAAATCCTGATTTAGGACAAAAATCGGAACTGGACATAGAGAGGAGTGTGAAAAGTTGGAACTGAAAATAAGCAAAAAAGACCAATCGAGATATTTAAATTTTATGATTAAGTCCTCGGGACAGATATTAAAATAATATTCAAAGATAGTTAAATCTAGAAAAATTAAAGGAAGGTCTAGAGGAGAACTTTTGAAATTTACAAAAATTCACACTCGTTAGGTCGGCAAAAAAGTAGAATAAAAAGTCAACCTTCCTTACAATATTTTTCATTTTTTGAAATTTAGAAGACAAGAAAAATTAAAAAAAAAATTTTTTTCAATTTCAAAAATTTACACTCGAAAGCTAATAATTATTTTTAGAAAAGCTCGAGATTTTCTTAAAATATTTTTTTTCAATTTTTTTTTGAAATTTAGTAGTCAATTTAGTAAAATAAAAATTAAAAACTAAAAAAAGGAAAGGAAATTGACCCTAATGTATAAAGGAAATTGTTTTGGAATCATGCAATAAAAAGGCAGGAAGAATAAATAAAAAGGGAATGGAAACAAATACACACACATGAGATGAGTATAAGATTAAAAAAAAAAGAAAAAAGATAACAATCTTGCGGCAATATTTTCTTTCAATAAATGAGGAACAGAAAAGAAGAGGAAGCACAAAAATATTTAATATTTTTATTATAATAAAAGAATTTTTATTTCATGGATATCCAAAGTCCATTTTATATTTTAATTTAAAAAATATTTTTTATTTTAATAAAACGCGATATGACTCACTACGATGAGCGGATCTTGGAAAGTTCCCGGATATCCGGTTTCTATTCGAAAATTTAGAATATTCGGACTTTCTCGGATCCACCAACCCTACTCATTCGGAAATCATCCCAATTACTGGGATCAGAAAAATGTTTAGGACATCCGAAATTTTTGTCTAGATCAAGTATCCCAGGTTGAATGTATAACCAGAAAAAATATTAAGGGGGCAAAGGAAATAGTTTTAGAATGTCAAAAGTAGGCGACCGGTTAATTTTTGCCCGTGGCGGCTTAAATGTTCTTATACTTCTCCATTCGAGTCACCACAGTGAAAACTGACCGGTCGCTAACAACCTTACATTAGTCAAAAGAGAGGACAATAATTAGAAAATTTTCCTCAAAAAACGCAAGTTAAAAAAGCATAGGAAAAAGAAATGATGCTCAAAAATCTTAAAAATCGGCCCAAGATTCTTAAATAACCCAAAAAAATAGTTTAAAAAATACCCCAGAATCTGATCTTTACTCGCCCAAAAAAAGTACTTTTCAATTTCCCCCAAAAAATAAAAGAAAACTAACCATCACTTATTATCGACAACGAAGCTTTTGCCAAAGTTGACCCAGCAGAATTAGCAGCAGCACAAACATAAATTCCTTGATCTATTTGACGAATATTGTCAATTATTAAACGACCTTCATTTGTAACTTGAATACGTCCATCTGATGAGACTAGGCCAGAGAAGAAAGTAAAAAGCTTAAAAAAATTTTTGAGTAAAATTTAACAAAAACGTCAGCGCGGCGTAATACCAAACCCACAAAATCTGCCAAAATACCAAGACGTGGAAAATAATAAACACTAAATACGTGGAAGGTTTTCTGAAGATCGGTAAATTTTATTTTAAAAAACCGTGACCCTGATTTTGGATGAGGACCATGACCAGATTCTTGACCTTGAGTCAATGAAAAATCAAAGTCTGTGTCCGGATTCAGGCCGATCTCTAGATGTTAAAGGTTTATACTAGAGTTGGACACGACTGGTTAATTCTACCCTGTGGTGTGTCAAATAGAAAAAAATCACAGCATTTGCGCGGCCACAGGGAAGTAAATTAACTGGTCGTGTCCAACTCTATTTGTTAGAACAACGTGGAAGTTGGTTTTGGTAGTCCGGCTTGGTACACATTTTGGTATTTCGGCGTATCTTTCGGAGGTTTTTGGTATTATGACATTTGGCATTATGGCACAATACAAAATCAAAAATTCAAAAAAAGAATAACCTGATCTCCTTCTTTGCTCCAAAAAATTCTTGGAATTGGCTGTCCAAAAGCTTCACATTCAAAAATTGCTGTTTTGCCAGGTATTAAACGTAAATTTTGTGGAAGTTTAGTAAATAATGGAGGTGAATTAATATGTAAATGGGCAGAAGATTCAACATTTCCTACTGGATTTTTAGCAAAACAAATATATTCGCCCGAATCTTGAGGTTGTACTCTTAAAGAAAAAAGAGAGGGGTTAGATTAATTGGGAAAAGGAGTTAATAAATTTTCCTGGTACTTTATGGATATGTCACCCCCCCTCCTATTTTGAGTCTCAGAGTTTTCCTTATGCGTAGAAAATGGTCAGAGATTATTTTCTTCTCCATGCCAATCATTTTTTTTCCTCTTCATGTATTTTTTTGCCTTTTCACATATATTTTTGAATTTTGTACTTACATTTCACTCATTTCGTTTCCACATTCCACTTATTTTGCTTGAAGAAAAAAATGATTGGCATTGAGAAGAAAATAATCATTGACCATTTTCTACGCATAAGAAAAACTCTGAGACTCAAAATAGGAGGGGGGGTGACATATCCATAAAGTACCATTTTCCTAAAAAGAACTGGAAAGGAAGGAGACTTTAACAGAAAATAAGGCAATTAAAAAAATTTTCATTGCAAATTTGGTATTAAATTTTTTTACATTTATTGAAAAATAGACAAAAGAGCCCATTCTCAGTAATTTATTCATGGATACGACAAAACAATCTCAAACTAAAGGAAAACTAACATGAATATGGGGTTCTCGGTCGGGAATCAAACCGAGCAGAAGAACCTCAGATCTTGATTCTCCGACTCATTGTTAGCTTCGGATATTGGAAAATGGTTCTTCAAACCGGGAAACCTAATCAAAACACTAATAAATTGATCTTTAAAACGACTCAATTAAAAAAACGTTCCTCTAAAAAATTAAGCCCCATAAAATTCAAAACTAATAAAACCAAAAATAAAGATTTTTGTACAAACCTATCAATTCTAAGGCCTCCTCTATCTCTTGCTACATAAGCCCGTCCAATTGGCATTTGTCCATCACGTTTTTTCCAAGAGATGGTAGGTAAAGGCTGAATTTTAAAATAAAATCTTTCAATAATCTCACAGAAAAGAAACCTCTCCAGCAACTTTACATTCAAAAAGGACAGAAGAATTTACTTCAGCTACCACATTTCTTGGTTCAACCTTCAAAAATTTTAACAAAATTTTTGAAAAAATTAAAAGAAAAATCAAACCAAAAATTTAGGCTTCTCATAGACAGAAAGTCTTGCAGGCTTTGATATTCTTTCTCCAACGGAATTGGAAGCAACACATTGATAGAAGCCTGCATCTGATTTTTGTGCCTAAAAATAAATTAGAATAAAAATATTTTAGATATGTAAAATACAAAGAGAGCAGTACTCGCGGACACGCATGTTCTCTAATTTATAGTTATGATTAGAGACCAGGGATGTCACGGGTTGAGAAAAATGTCGGGTCGGGTTTCGGGTCGGGTTTCCAAAATTTTTCTCGGATCGGGTTTCGGGTTGAGCAAAAAGTCGGGTCGGGTTTCGGATCGGGTTTTCGAAATTTTCTTCGGATCGGGTTTCGGGTTTCGGGTCGAAAAAAGTGAGAATTTTGGAAGGCCAAAAAGCCAAAAATCTTCCCTTCTCAGCGCCGCAGGCGAAAATTTTGAGAATTCTGGAACATCCGAAGCCAGATTTCTTCCTTTTTCAGCGCCGCAGGCGAAAATTTTCAGAATTTTGGAAGATCATTAAGCTAAAAATGTTCTTTTTTTTTGCGACGCGGGCGAAAATTTTGAGAAAACTCGGGTCGGGTTTCGGGTCGGGTTTTGAAAAATAAAAATTCTCGGGTCGGGTTTCGGGTCGGGTTTTAGAAAATTTCTCGGATCGGGTTTCGGGTATCGGGTCGAAAAAAAGGCCGGGTTTCGGGTATCGGGTAACCCGTGACATCCCTGTTAGAGACCGAGACGCGATCTCGATTATCGAGATTTAACGAGAATTTTTCGAGATCTCGATTCCTGTACGACACTCCCAGTCCAGTCTCTAGTTATGATAAGAAGGGGGCTTCAAAATGAACGAAAATCCGAAAATTTCGGTTCCGGTCAAAAATTTGGTGACTACATATGTATATGGAAGGTGACTGGACAAGGGAAAAATTTCGAAATACGACGCAGACGTCAAACTAGTCAAATTAGATGTCAAACGACTAAATCAGCTCGACGAGCACCTTCGAATGAAATATAATTTTATCAGTTTGGTGTCTGTGTTGTATTCCTAAATCTTATCACGGACAAGAATCAGTGGCCGTTTTCAATATAGTCCAGTTTTGTCCATAAATACAAAAAAAAGTAAAAAAAACAAACATTTTCAACGATTAAATTCCCACTATCCAATAATTGATATTTTTCGTTGTTTTGAGTATTTACTTCCCTTTCATCCTTTCTCCAACTAACTACAGGTTCTGGAAAGCCTTTGGGAGGTAGACAATCTAAAGTGACTCGATTGCCTATGAGGGCCTTAAAAATAAATATTTTGGGGCTAAAATGAGCTAAAATGTTTAAAAACCTGTACAGAATGTGGATTAATTCGAAACTCTTCTCGAAGCATGGCAACCCGTAAATTTGCTTCTTGCGATCTGACTTCGCCAAATTTGTTTTTTGCTACACAATAATAAACACCAGCATCAGAATCAGGTCCGCCTTGAAAATTTGAACGTGTTATTATTGAAAAGGGAATAAGTTAAAGTAGAAAAAGGGAAAAGGCAGGCTAAATAGTCCACAGAAAATACCTCCCTTTTTACAAATATTTTTTGTGAGCATTTAGGGATTATTCGATCAGTGGTTCTAATCAGTTTCACAAGAAGCTCAACGGTTTACAAGGTACAATATGGTTGTCAGTTATTAAAGTCAGATCCTATTAACTAGGGCTGTTGGTGACATGTTGATTTTTGCCTGTGGCAGCTCAAATGCTCTTATTCTTCTATTTGAGCCGCCACAGGCAGAAACTAACCGGTCGCCAACAATCCTAAAGTTACCCAAATAACAAAACAATTTAAGTCAGTAATTGAATGATAAAAAGTCCTATTAACCAAATTTAAAAAAAATTAAGGGGGGGGGGGGAGAATAATCTAATAATCACATACCACTTTTAACTTTTAAAAGAAGCAAAGAACCATCAGGTAACAAAAGACGATGACCATTCCCAACCTTAACAGGTTCCGAGTCTTTATACCAAGTTATCTCCACTCCTTCTCCTTCAGCTTCACACCTAAAAGATTTCATAATTTAAACTCAAAAAATACAAAAACCTCAAAGTAGCCGGATCATCTTTCGCTACCAAAATATCCAAAGGATGTTCAGAAATTGTTGGGGGTTCTCCTAAAAAATTTTAACTAAAACATTTTGGATTATAACGCGTGGTCGTATATTGGCGTAGCGGTATAATTCGACCCTACTCGATAAGCTCGCTCGGTAAATGTGTAGATTACTGGTCCCGAAAAAAATGACAAAGAAATGCTTTTTCGATATTTTTGAGGTCTTCCAGTAGGTAATCGAATGTGCTGAGTCCGAATATGAGCTTAGAATTTGTCTATTTTGAACCCCGAATTCGACCAAGTCGGATATGGGGTAAAAATTTGAAATTTCAAATTTTTTGTTTAATCGGACTCAGCTCGAAGAGATTAGTCGAATGGTATCAAAATTATCAAGTTTCGACCATTTTAAACGAAGTTATGGTGTCTAATTTGTATACGGAAGTCGAACCCAACGTTATTTAATTGATCATAACTTCGTTTAAAATGGTCGAAACTTGATAATTTTGATACCATTCGACTAATCTCTTCGAGCTGAGTCCGATTAAACAAAAAATTTGAAATTTCGAATTTTTACCCCATATCCGACTTGGTCGAATTCGGGTTCGGGGTTCGAAATAGACAAATTCTAAGCTCATATTCGGACTTAGCACATTCGATTACCTACTGGCAGACCTCAAAAATATCGAAAAAACATTTCTTTGTCATTTTTTTCGGGACCAGTAATCTCCACATTTACCCTCGCTCATATGAGCTATCCTTTGCATGTTCAAATTTTTTATCCCTAAAGCAGGTTATCCCCAACGGTTTCTGACCATTTCGAGCCCTACATCACGTTCCATGGGTGTCACGCTTAATCAAGCTTCTTATGTGGTTTTATAATGAATGACTCAGTTCACCACTGTTCAGACATATTACATCCATATCCGCCCCCATTAAAAACCCGCTATAAGTGCTATAATTTTTAAAAACAAAAAAAACCTGTAGCTGCTATTCTTGCAAGACAAAGAAGGAAAAATAAATTAATTAAAACTAGCACTGAAAGCATTCGGTTTTCACATTGCGTGGTGAATAAAAATAAGAGAATTTTATTTAAATAAATTAGGCATCTAAAATTTAAAGTTAAAAAAATTTTTTCCAAAAGTAACAAAAGCACGCCTTCTAGAAACCAAAAAAAGCTTCCTTTGTGGTTTTATAATGACTCATTTCAGTGTCCAATTCAATCAATAAACGTAATTAAATATTAATTAGAAAGCTATTCTTTTTGCAGAAGAGAAAATAAAATTAAAAGGAAAGAAAAGGGAAAGCCCTAGAAAAAGGAAAAGCTCTCTTTTGACCAGCTAGGTCCGTAATGGAACCAAAGTCCGGCTACTTAAATTACTTTATCAAGGGAGTGGAGAGGTTTTGGATGGAGGTAACAATAGAATTTTTAGGAAGGCTCTTAAACCTAAGAAATTTCGAAGACATTTTATCCCAGTTTTAATCACAAGACATTTGATCCCAAAAATTTCAGGTCCAAGACAATTTATCCCCATAACGAGCAATTTTCTAAAAAGGCTCTGAAATTTTTTTTTTGAAGTTTTTCAAACCCGAAAGAAATTAAGCTCCAAGACATTTTGTCCCAGAATTTGAGTTTCGGACATTTCATCCCAAAAATTTCATTCCCGAGACATTTAGTCCCAAAAAACTTGTTAGGTCCATTATTAAAAATAATTTTTTCCTCCATTACTACATGAAGCACCTCTGCAAAAAAAGTAATCAACCAACATTAATTTCCGAGAAAATAGCAAAAAAAAAGGCAAGGATTGAGACAGCCCAACAGCACGCAATTTTCTCTTAATAACACCACAACAACCCTCAACCACTCCTCACCCAATTTTCCTTCCTTTCTTCTTCTTCCATTTTCCGCTGCTCGATTATTGATGTTTGTATGTGTATATGTGTGCATTTTGTGTCCCCATATGTGAGTGACCAAAATAAAAAAATATATAAATAAATTATGCTTCTGTGAACATAAGTGACAAAAAATCCATTAGCTTTTTCGATACAAAAATTTTTATTCAAAAAAAAAATAAATTTAAAAAATACAGGTAAATAAATTAAAAATTTTTTCCAATAAATAAATAAAAGATGGTCAAAAAGGTTTGACAAAGAGGTTTTTTTCAAAAAGGGTTTTTTTAATTTTTGTACCCCCAATATGTCCGCAACAAACTGCCATAGGGAAAAAGTGTCTGCCTGTTATTTATCCTTTTACTAAGAAAGCACTCCTTCGGATTCGGAGTTTGCTGGGGAGGGCATGTCGGGATTCGGGTTGCTACCATAGATTTAAATAATTTTTTAAATTTATTTTGTTGTCAGATTAATAAAAACAAAGTTTTCATCCTTTTTAATTCTCCTCTTTCATTTTCTTGATTTTAACTAAAAAAATCGATTCATCTCCCATTTTCAATCCATGTTCCTCATGACAAAATGAGAATCTCGCTTTTGGATTATAAATATTGGAAATTTGGTATTTTGTAAATTTTAAACCATCTTCTTGGGTATTTTCAACTTTTTCCGCTCTCTCATTCAATTTAAAATTTGGTAATAGAATATAATCTAAGAGAATAGCAGGCACCATTTTTGAAACATCTTTAGACTTTGTTATATACTAAAATTTAAATTTATTTAGTTGGACTCCAACAATGACATCATGGTGCTAATTATGAAGTCTCATTCTAAGTTGATAGATCTAATTCCTCTCAACCACAGACTTCTTGACAATGAAGGGTGAGGTCCATTCCAGGGCTGGGCGCAAAGAAAAAATAAAAAGCGAAATGCGAAATGCGAAACTTTTCGCGCTAAAAAATGCGAGAATGCGAAAGATGCGAAACGCGAAATTGCGAAATTTGTTCAGAAAAATCGCAAAATAAGAAGCGAAATGCGAAATACGAAACTTTTCGCGCCAAAAAATGCGAGAATGCGAAAGATGCGAAACGCGAAAGTGCGAAATAAGCCCAGCCCTGGTCCATTCCCAATTTTTTTTTGTACAATCAAAAAGGGTGCGCAGCCATAACGGCGCGAAGCCTTAACTTGCTGGAAAATTTCTGCCACTTACCAATTTTGTAAATCTTTTTTAGGTTGATGACAGGAATCATTTAATACTAAATTTGTTAGGATTCGGAAATCTTAAAGCAAGGTATGGCTCTGCGCCGTTATGGCCGCGCGCCGGTTTTGACGTGTCCCCCTAATTTTAAATTAATTTAACTCTTACTTCAACAATAAGATCATAAATCTTTGAAGACGCATAAATACGGAAATAAATATTAGGTAATTTGTTGCCTTTATTTATTATAATATCAAATAAAATATTAGTTAGCTTCTCTGGAATGTTGTTCGTGGTTGAAAGAATGAGAAGTAACTCATAAATTGCAAAATTAATTAAACCAGAATTCAAAATTTTTTCGAATACATTAAAGTTAATGGTAGGCGATAACCAGAGGCATTTAACGTTAAATTGTTTAAGGTCATTATCAAATAATAAATTAACCATTTCTGGATTAAATATATAAGTTGTAAACTCGGCTCTTCTAAAAGCACAATTAAAAAGTTGTTGTAACCAAAATCGAATAACAATCATTTCTTCTATAGTTTTTGGAATGTTGGGAAATTTCAGAATATAACGGGGCTTCTTATCATCTAAATATAGAAAAATAATTTGATTTGCTTTTCAAAAAATCAGGATCCCCTGGCATCAATCAAATTATCGATAAGCTAATGAACAGAGCACAGACCCTTATAATATAGTCGTGACCCAAGAACATTAAAAAACATCAGGGTATCTATCTTCCGGTTAATGTTCAGCTCGCAACTCACATGTCCGCAAAGGCATTTCTGCAAAAATCATTTTTCGTTTAATTCTCCTTTGCCTTTCTTTCCTCTAATTTATGTACTTAAAATAATTAAATAAAAATTTAAGGATTGAAAATTTGTGATAAAGTCCTGCCGAGATTTACGGATTTTTACATAAAAATTTCTTTTTGTTACTTTTTGCTGATCTTTCTTGTGAACATAGGCCTCATAGAGGATGAACATAGGCCACAAAACCTCATAGAGGATTTAATATTTCCCTTTAACTTCACGTTGCTTCAATCCACTGATAAATAAAGCCCTTAATAGCTGTTACGTAAGTTCTTAATTACGCCACAAGTAAATGCGCCAAGCTGTCAACCAATCAAAGGAGAAGAATTCAGCGAAAATTGATTTTTGCCGAAATGACTTTGTGGATATGTGGGTCGCGAGCTGGGCATTAACCCTTATAAATGCCCATTATTTTACATTTTTAAACCTTTCTCTACACAAACACGGCATGTATTATCACCAAAATCATGCGAAAGTAACGTAAATGATTCAGCTATCGCTGCTTTCCACTGAAAAAATACAAGGAACCTAATCAAAATTAATTTAGTAACCTTCTTCATAAGCTGCTCGTCCAACACAAAATCAGAAATTACAGGGTCAAGTTTAATGATTATATCTTGACTATGGATATCACTGGTGTTAATCTAAAATTAATTTGAAAATAAAAAAATTAGTTAATATTTACCAAAGAGAGTTTATTAAATTCCATTCTAGCCAACCCTCCCTTATATTTATTAATTAAATTGTAAAAGTAAGAATTGGCTAGTTTAAGGGAGAATATTTGCTCGAAATTAAAACATTTTAAAACATCGAGTTGAACTTCAGGTGGTAAAGAAAGCATTTTAATCAATGAAAATCTATAAAAAATTAAAAAAGAATTAAGTTTTGAAAACATTAAAAATAAATTAGCAAGCTTTAAACTACTTAAAAATGATGAAAATAAATATAAAACATTTTAATTAAAAGTCAAAAAAATATTTTTTAATATTCAGTCTTTCAATAAATTAATAAAAAATATAATTCTCTTTCAAATTCTACTCTTCCATCTTTTCGATATAAACATAAAATATTGTTTCATATCTATTATTAGAAAATAAAAATTTCACTTTTGGATTATAAATATTATCAATTTGGTATTTTGTATATTCATATCGCTCACTAGTTTTAACATTTTTTGCTCTCTCAGGTAATTTAAAATTTTCACGTGAATCAAAAAATATCTGAATAGAAGGCACCATTTTAGAGAAATCTTTAGACGTTGTTATAAACTAAAATTTAAATTTCAACTTTAATTTTTAAAGAACTCTTACTTCAACAATAAGATCATAAATTCTTGAAGACTTGAAAGAACCAAAACCAACTTTAGGTAATTTATCGCCTTCATTTATTATAATATTGAATAAGATATCAGTTTGTCGCTCTGAAATGTTGTTCTTGGTGACAAATAACCAATAAATTGCAAATCGGTTTAAAACAAATTTAAAAATATTTTCCCTTGTATCATTACTAAGATATAGATGGAAATTTTGAACGTAAAATTGTTTAAAATTTGTTTTGTCGTTACCAAATAATAAATTAATCATTTCTGGATTAAATATAACATGTCTAAACTTAACATCTTCAAAAACACAATTAAAAAGTTGTTTTAACCAAAATCGAATAATAACCATTTCTTCTATAGTTTTTGGAATGTTGGGCAATTTAATATAACTGGAGTTTTTGTCTTCTAAATTGAAAAATGTTTTAATAAATAGAGATTTGCGATGAAACTAGAGTTAATTCAAGAAATCAAGGTATAGTGGGTACTAGTGTTTCGCCAAGTTCAGGTTCCGGTAGGCCGGAAGTTCCGGAATTTTTTGGTTCCGGCCCTTCAGTTCCAGTTAAATTGTAACTTTTTAACACCCCTAAGGATGTGATCTCTCATTTTTTTTGTTGACGGTACATTGGACCGCCGTCCAATGTACCGTCAACAATTCTACAAACCAACACATGAAAAATGTTGTTCAAACAACAGCTGCAACAAAAATATTAGTTCCAAGTACTGGGAGCTTGTTCCATGAACAACTTCGGTACATTGGCCTGCTCCCGGGTGTAATATACAATAATTGACATTCAACCAGCCTATAGAAAAGCCGGCCCTCGTAATAAGTGACACTACCTGTTTTCTTTATCCGAACAGCAAATTCTTCAATATTATCTTCAAATCCATGTAAAAACAAAGGGATTGATTCAGCTATCGCTGTTTGCCACTGAAATCCAATTTAATAAAAATTAAAAAATTAATTTAACCTTCCCGTCAAAAACAAATTCAGAAACTGTAGGTTCAAGTTTAATGATTACATCTTGTCTAAATATATCTTTGGTGTGAATCTAAAACTAATTTTCAAACCAAAAAAAATAGTTAAGATTTACCAGTCTAAGTTTATAGAATTTAATTCGAGCCAATGTTCCCTCAAATTTATCAATTAAATTGCAAAAATAAAAGTTGGTTTGTTTAAGAGAGAATAACTGCTCGAAATTTAGACATTTTAAAATGTCAAGTTGAACTTCCGGTGGTAAAGAAATCATTTTAGACAGTAAAATTCTAAAAATATTTTTAAATAAAAATTAAAGAAGAGAATTAGTTTAAAAATAGATAGGACAGGTTTTAATTAGAGCCCGGACTGGTTGACTCCCGAGAGATCTCGATCACGATAACTGAGATTTTCGATCGAGATCTCGTCTCAATCCGGTCTCTAATAAACACCTCTTTAACAAAAAAAAATTTTTTTTGACTAGTCTGGAAAGACTAAATAAACTTTTTATTTTTTGATGAATCATCAAGAATTTAAAATTATGGCATTAATTTTTCAAAAAATTAATTAAATGCAAAATGAAATATTGAAACAAAAACTGAAGCTGATATTTAAAATTTTAAACTTTTCTGAACTCGAAATTTTTTGAGAACAAGTTTTCCGTGAAAAATCAGCTTTAGTAAAATTTAGATAAAACGGCGTACGACATTTGCGGATTAAAATTTGCGGAAAAGTTCAATAGTCAATTGAGTCCCCCCACCCACTACCGATACAAAAATTTGAAACAGTCTCCAAATACCAATACGGAATACTGAATATTAGTGTTGGTAGTATGGTATGGTCTGATCTCTAGTTATAATCTGTCTCACCGACACTCTTCCAAAAACCCAACATTTGGATACGGTTGGAGATTCGGATACCTTGATCCGATAAAAGTCAAGATGTTCAAAATCAAAAGATCCGCTAGGACATGCCACCCCTGCCTCTTAGCTACACCTTTGAAATGCTTAGGGAGTACCGAAAAGTTCCGATAACGAGTGGTACCGAAATTTTCCAAAAGCTCATCGGGACGGTACCGGTTCCGGGAGTACCGGAAAATACCGACTCGATATTTTCAGGAGTACCGCGGGAGTACCGAACCGTGCCGAACACTAGATAAGACCCGATTTATCCGCAAATTTTTCAATTTTCCGCAAATGTATTTACCACCATATATTAAAAACTCTAAAAAACTTAAAAAAATTTAGTCAAAAGTCTCCCAATTATTTTTTCTTTTAAATTGTTCTGATTGTAAAGAAAGTGTATAAGCTAAAGTATTTCCATTTGGAATAATTAAAGACTGGGAATTTGATGAAAATGAAGACGAATTATTTGGAGAATTGTTTGGTGTAGTTGTTGTTGCTTGAATATACAAATTTGGACTTGAATGAATATTTGAATGAAGACTCGAATGAAGATGTGAAGACAATAAAGTTGCCTTATTTATTCCTTCTTTTCCTTTCTTCTCCTCCCCATCTTCCTTATCATCATTTAAATCAATCAGATCATCTACTGAATGTACACTTACAACATCCAACGCTTTTTTCCCTTCCCTTTCTTCTTCTTCTCTTCCTCCTCCATTTAATTTCAAAGTCATTTCTTTATTTAAATCAAATTCTAAAGCATCTATTGATAAGGGATTTATAATTTCTTTTCTTCCTATTAATTTTGGTTTTCTTTTTAATGATATTGCTCGACGATGATTATTTGTTGTTGCTGTTTTAGGTCGTTTTGTTGATGAAGATGATATTGTTGTTGATTTATCTTTCATCTTTAAAAAAAAAATTTTTTTTTGTATTGGGGGTTTTCTATTTGGGGAGGGAGGAGTTTGGGCGCAAGGATAGCCAGGGTTATCCAAGATCCGATAGCTGACCCAAGTTTATTTCAACCCAATCCATCCCTCTGGGCGTACTTAAAACAGGACTAACAGTAATCGGAAAAGTTTACGTTACAAGCAGCCCCAAACGACAGTTGCGGACAGCTCTCAAAGGCCTAAAATACCCCTTAAAACCTAAAGGATTGGAGTTGAGATAGATAATCTTCAAGTTCTGACAAGGTCATTGCACCCGATTTTCAACCCATGATTTTTCAAAGTGGAACCTGATAATTGCCCATTTTATTATAATTAAAAAATTTTTTAAAGGTGACAAAAAAATCTCTAAAATTATCAACACTTAATTCAAAATCAAATAATTTTAAAATTTTTCCCTACATGCCTTCATCGACTGAAATTGGTCCTTTAATGCAAAAATAACATCGCTAGCATTCTCTTTAATCTTAAAAAATAAAAAAATTTTAATAAAAAAATAATTAGTATACCGATGAGACTGTTTGTTGTAACAATTCTGGTGGTCTTGACTGAAAAAATTTTTCAAAAAATTTTTTTTCAAACCCAAATTCCTTTTGACAATCCACGAACATCCAATGTTTGTACTTCTTTTTCAAATTTATCATTTACAGCAATTCCATTTTTTAAAGCTTCTAAACGTTCTTGAACAAATCTTTCAAAATATTGAACACCATCTTTTCCAATTAAAGTTTCCAAATATGGGCGTATACTTGGCCTTTCTCTTTCTAAAAATATTTCTCGATCCCATGTGTATATTCCATCAGAACCTGCGAATGAAAATCGAAAATGGCTAAGTTTTTTAAAATTTCCAAAATTTTCGCTAGTGGAAAAATCCTATTTCACATTACTACTGGTACCGGTATCGGAAAAAGAACATAACTTTGGACACTCAAAGATAAAAAAGTAGATTACAAATGTAAGTTTGGGAATACACAAAATCTATTTCCTAAAGTAAGAGGCTGAATTCAAATTTTTTAATTGACCCGGTCCGAAACTCAATCTGAAGAATAAAATTTAGAAATGGTCAAAAAATTCAAAACCCAACTCGACATTTTCCTCAACCCGTGATATCCCTACATTAGACTATGATGAAAAAATCCCAAAAAAACAGCCGGAACAAACATCCTTAAAAAAGACCCTAATGTCTACTAATAATAAAAAAAAATAAAAAAAAAATCAGAAAAAAAACCTTGAGTAAAACCGCAATTATAATTTCCAAACAAAATAGCATTTGTCCTCAAAAATGTTTTTGCAAAAGAATCTGACAGAAACAAATCATTTGAAAGTTTTAACCGGCTCCACAAATAATTATAAGCCTCTTGTGGCAATTTATCTTGATAGGGGGAAGAAAGCATTTTTTCATCCAAATCAGTTAACACAATATCTCCAAGTTCGTTTTTATTTATTTTTAAAAATATTTGTTTTGGAACTCCAATTAAATAAGGCATTGGGGCCCTGAAAAATTATTTTTTGAATTAAAAAAAAAACAATTTTTAATTTTGTGGGCCAATTCTTTTTTTTTGTTAGTCCTTGGTAACATTCATTTCATATAAATAATGTTATAATTTCCCAGTTTTTTCTTAACTTTTCCAGTCACCAAGGGCGTAGCTTTTTCCTTTTCCCATTTCGGGGGGGGGGGGGGGGGGAGGGGGGGGTGTGGTTAGCCCCAGAAGCCCCCTGGCTATGGCCTTGCCGGTCACTGGGAAATCATTAGCCACTAAATTAAAATTAAATTTCAAAAACATACATTAACATATCTGTCAAATCTTGGGGTAAAATTGGAATAAATAAATTTTGCCTAAAAATAAAAAAAATAAACTTTAAAAAATTCTTGCAAACCATTCAAAAGGATTTAATAATTTAGCAAGTCCAAAAACACAAGAAGACAATTGACTCAGTTTTGAAGATATAAAAACTATCCTCCTTTCTTTTAAAAGGCTAGAAAAGTTAAAAAAGAAAATTTTTAAATAAATTAAAAAATTGCGGGGAAGGACTAAAAATCCCAAACGGTCAAAAAAAGATAGAAAATTTAAAAAAAAAATTTTTAAGTTTTGCTAACAGAAATAAAATTATTTCATTATGCTCCCAAAAGTTCCCCGAATTTTATCCATCAGGATTAAATAAGCAAAAGAAATTAAAAATTTTTTTGATAAAAATTAGAAGAACATTTGGGTTGCGGGCTGTTCCCAAATGTCCAAAAACTTGAGGACATTTGGGAATAGGCCCGCAACCAGGGGGTAGAGGGGGAACTCCCTTCCTCCTCCTCCCGAAAAAAAATCCTGGTTACGGGCCTGTTTGGGAATACATATAAATAAAATCCAAAAAAATCGAGTAAATGTAAAAGAAAAGAAAACATAAGAAATCCATGTAATGAGCAATTATCAAAAAAAAAATAAGGGCCAACTGGTTAGGGTCCAACATTTCCCAAAAACCCCCCATTAAAATTAAATAAGCTTACGATGAATATAATTGCACCATCTGTCTTTCATTCACCGCATTAAAAAATTCTAATAAAGTTTTGTCTTCTTGTAAAGTTGGTAGATTAGAAGGGTTTGGAATAACATCAGAAAACCTCTAATAAAATTAAAAGAAAAATTAAAAAAAAATTAAAAGAAACCCCAATATTTGAACATGCAGTCAAAGAAAAAGTTGAACCAGGAGAAGGAATATCCATATGATAAGCATTTATTAAAAGGGATTCAACATCTACAGGCTAAAAAATTTTTAGAAATAAAGAAGGAAATTATGATTAAGAAAATTTAAAAAAATTAGAAAACGAGAGGTTAAAGAATATTTTTTTAATATTACATTGAAATTAGAAAAAAGGGTTAACGGTTTTAAGGTCTTGACGTCAGATTAGTCTTTCCCCGTGGCAACTCAAATTCTCTAATACTTCTCTAGTTGAGTCATCACCGACAAAAATTAACAGGTCGTCAATAACACTAGGGACAAAGACACGAGGATTTTTGGTTCTGCCTAATCATAGAATTTTTTAAAATCCAAAGTACGAAGAGAATAAAAAATAAAATAGCAAGAAAATGCAAATCCGAAATAACCTTGATTCTAGTTGAGGACTTTACCTGATTCTTGACCGTAAGTCAAGGACAAATCAAGGTCTTGATCCAGATCAGGGCTCTCTAGAAATCCTACCCCCCTTTCCCATTTAAATATCCAACTATCCCATATTTAAATTATAAAAAACATACGGCTCCTTTCGTTGTAACAGTAGAAATATGATTCAAAAATTTATAAAAAAAACTTGTCCATAAAAATCCACTAAAGAATTTGAATTTTTATAAAAATAATTAAAAATAAAAACCTCAAAATGCACAAAACAAAATTATTTCGAGGGGTAAAACGGCAATAACCAAAAGTATGAAGGGAGGAAGCATCTGTGAAAGCAAAAGTGAATAATTGAACAGGTTCGTTCTCAACACTGAAAAAATTGGAAAATTTTTTAATGGATCTCAGAGACAGTTGAACAAAAATTTTTATTCAAATCAACTTATTAAGCGTTTGATATTTGAATTGAAAGGCTCTAGGAACTAGTTTAATAAATCTAGAACCAAGATAATGGGTATAAATTGATCTATATTTGGATCCAGGCCTTAATTTTTACTAGATTCGGAGTCTAAAGGAAAATAGGGGAAAAGTCCAAACAAGCTTCTAATTGAGTTGGTTGATATCCAAAGGATCTAGACCATATTTTTATAGATCTAAAGGCAAGGTAACTTGTATAAATCAGCCCTAATTTAAAAACGGTTAAGAGCAAGTCAGGAAAACTCAAGTAAATTTAAAAAGTATTCCGAAAACTGCTTAAAAAATTTTCAAGTTCCTATAAGACCAAGGCTACCTAAACAAGTCAAAAAGACATGCCCCAATCAATCGAACCCCGAAACCTAGATAAAGTCATCCTTAAAATAAATTTAAAAAAAAACCTCGCATTATTTAAAGCATTGTGAGGGATACAAAATTGTTTTATCGATTTCAATATGCCTTCATCGTTGAATTCTTGAGGGTATAAAACCTGAAACGTAGTCACAAAATTAAAAAAATTTATTTAAAAAAAACTTTTATTTGCACAGAATTGGACGCATCCGACGAGACGCAACAACAAACATCAAAAATCGTAGCTATATCCTTACTAAAATGAATTAAAATTTACTTGTGTAGTTTCCCTCCCCTATCCGATTTTTTGATGTACAAAATGGTCAGTCATTTTTTCTTTGAATAATTCTACAAATTTCATCAGTATCATTAAAGCAGTTAGTCTTTCTTCATTAAGACATTTCTTTTGTGTGGGATCTGTCTTTGGTCTCAAGTTCCACACTGACTAGATGATGCCACAGGGAAATTTTGTGAAATTATACGTGGAAGAAATGACTGATAATTTATAGATTTTTTAAAAAATGGATGGGGGAGGAGAGAACCTGCATAAGTACTAGAGATCGAGATTTTTGGAAAGCCTAGACCTGTTCCTGGACTCTGGGTTTGATTTATTGACCTGGGCCTGATCCTGGGCCTGTAGTCCAGTAAAAACCCAGGCCCAGGAACACAGGAAGGCCAAAAAATGTCTGGCCTCGACTCTGGGTACAGAAAAATCCCAGGCCTTGGTCCAAACCCAGCTCGATCTCTAATAAGTACCCATTAAAAAATATTCAAGAATTAAAAATAAAGATTTAAAAAATTACCGGAAGCGTGAACCCATTTTACGAGTAAAAAATAAAAATTTAATTGAAATAAAACAAAAATAACATTAAGAAAAATGTCTGGAAATTTAATTGGAGTGAAATGCGGTTGTTAATAAAAAAATAAAAGCTGGCAAAAAGGACTAAAAATGCTGAGAAAAAGCTTAAAACTTAAGTTTCTGGGAATACAAGTCTGCAAACTTAAGTTTATGAGAGAGTGTGTAAAAAGAAGAGAAAGAGACAAAGTGACTAAATAAAAACATTTCGCCAATAATTTTTTAAATTAAGAATTTAAAATTTTTCTTATGTGAAGAGGCTGTCTGTTTATTTTTTTCGAGGCTATGGATCGAATCATGCCAAAAAATTTATCCGACTTGAGTTTGGATACGGCCTGGCGCTCTAGCACAAAATATAACTTAGGAAAAATTGATATGAATGGTTACTGACTTAGAAGTATGTAGTATTTGTTTCTCTCTAAATTAACAACTTTAAATAAAGCAAATTCTAGAAAGAAATTTGTAGACCTACTACAACATTTGAAAGAGTATATCAAAATGAGATATCGAGAGATTTGGTGTGATTGAAGGGGATGTAGATCTCTGCTCACCCAGAGTTAAAGTACACGCTCACAATATCGCACCAAATTTTCTAAAATACAGAGCTGGGTACTTATCTCCATAGAGCTTGGTTGACCTCCTTAATCCCTCGATATTCTCTTTTAAGATTTGTAGGGTCTCAGGGGGAGGTCTTCGTGGTGTAGGTCTCCAGGGTTGAGTAAGATCTACCGCCAAAGACTTACAACGTTTTAAAGGGAATATCGAAAGGGTATATCGAGGGATTTGGAGGAATTAAGAGGATATCCCTCCAGAAAGATACTACAAAAAAAGTTTATTCAAGTATAGAAAATTCAAAACGTGTTATTTATTAAATCAAATTTTAAATTAAATATCCAATTAAAATAAATCAATTCCACTTTAATGTATTCGCTTAATTTTGAATTCTAATGAACTATAAGTATTGTCGTTTCCAGTATAATTTATTAAGAAAACAATATTTGGATTGTCAGTATTGGCAATTTTATAGCCAGAAGTATACATGGCTTTCCCATATTGAATAAATTGTTTTGTTTTAACCCCTTCTCGATTATGCAAATAATTAAAATTCCAAACTGAATCCCAATGACTAACTACATTTATCAAGTTATGATAAATGTATGGTGATCGTCTCAACAAATGAAGCTCCAAAAAAAACTCACTATAGGGTGCATGACCTGGGATTAAAAAATAATACGCGGATATGAAAGAAGTTTAACCCTCAATTTCAAATTTCCTCGTACTTTGAAAACGATAGGGATCACGCCGACAAAAATTTCCGAAAATCCGAAATTTTTGTTTTATGTCGACGTAATTAGCGGTACACGGATACGAGTACAAAGTTGGTACAAGCCTCAAACAATAAATAATTTGGCTGACCCCATTTTTGTTTTTAATATATGACGAATCTACCCAGCTTTGTGTGTTAGAATCTCTAACAAAGGCCCACTCAAAGAAACAAGATAAATAGAAGCCTGAGGCTTAATTTGGAGTATATTCTTACATTTTTTATCAATTCAAATATTGATGGCTTCAAACAAGTGAGTATGCAAATCCAATGAAATCTAGCTCTATCATTTAACATATCCATAATAATTCCATTACATTGCTCCGCCTTCTTACAGGCAGTAAAATCAACAGAAAATTTATTAAAAATCTTCAAATGATCTTTAACAAATTTCATTGCCTCGGATTCAAATTTAGCAATAGGATAACGAAAAATAGTTTTTATTGTAGTAAATATCATTGTCTCATTTTCAAAGAGTAAATTAATCAAGACTGGATTGAAAATAATATTATCAAATTCAGCTTCTTTATAACCACAACGAAAAAGACGTTCCAACCAATAACGAATAATAAGCATTTTTTCGATTTTTTTAGGAAATAATGGGAGCTTCAAAAGTACACTGCGACGCAAAATTATACGTCCACCCCCTTTTTTCGGAATTTTTTCATTTGTATTGATCAGAATTTTTTGAAATTTTAATTACACACCTTTTAGTGAATAACTAACAAGATGTGTATGGATTTTTCGAAGAATTTTTATTTAAAAAATTTTTAGACCAAAATTTGTGTTTTCGGCCTACGCAAAATTATACGTCCACTTTCCAAAAAAGGTATTTCCAATAATAGGAAAAATCTACAAAAATTTCAGTAAACTTATATATTGATATTATAAAAAATAAAAAAGAAAGTAGGTCCATATCTTTACTCTAAGCCGAGATCTTGAGACCTCGAAAATCAACGTAAAATGGGGTTTTTCAACTTTAAAAAATATTCTCGACCCCTTATGGATTACTGTAAATTTTGATTTTGGGCTCATTCGAAAGCCCTTCAAATTTGCCACAAGATAGCATTTAACATATCTTTCATAATAGATTTATTTTAAAGTAACAGCCATCTAAACTTCTGATACATGAAAAACTCCTAAATTACCCATAAAATTCCCCTTAAGGTTGCTTCCAAAGATTAACGGTATACATCACTCAATAAAATTTTTTCTGGAAAATAAGTTTATTACTGCCTTGTAGCAAATTTCAAGGGCTTTCGAATGAGCCCAAAATCAAAATTTACAGTAATCCATAATGGGTCGAAAATATTTTTTAAAGTTGAAAAACCCTGTTTTACGTTGATTTTCGGGGTCTCAGGATCTCGGCTCCGGGTAAAGATATGGGTCTAGTTCTTTTTTATTTTTTCATAATATCATTGCGTATGTTCCCTATAATTTTTGTAGCTTTTTCCTATTGTTAGAACTAACTTTTCTGGATAGTGGACGTATAATTTTGCGTAGGTTGAAAACACAGATTTTGTTCTAAAAATTTCTAAAATAAAAATTCTGCCAAAAATCCATAGACATCTTGTTAGTTATTCAATAAAGGGTGTGTATTTAAATTTTTAGAAAATTCGGATCAATACAACTGTAAAAAGTTCGAAAAAATGGGGTGGACGTATAATTTTGCGTCGCAGTGTATATTGCCTGATCTATTTTTCGCAACTTAAAAAAGTTTTAAATAGATATAAATATAAAATTATATTTAAAACAAAATTAACCTTCTTCATTAGTTGGGCGAATTTTACGCAAAATAATAACAGCCTCACAAGATTCATTAAAACCCAAAAATAGAGGAATGCGTTCAGTCAATGCAAGTTCCCACTAAAATTTTGTTTCAAAACCATCTTCCAAACTCCAAATAAACGGAGAAAATGGGAATTGGAAAAACCATCCCTATCGACATTTACTTACACGCCCAAATCCTACTATATTCGCCTTAATCCTTCCATACCCTGATATCCCAACAAAATCCCACGATATATTTGCGAGGGACTTGGTCGAAAAATCCACCAAACTCTCTAATTTTTAGAAATTTGTGGACCGTGTTTGGTTCGCTCCGTGACTTGGTAAGGTATTCTTTGTAAGTCACCCTTTTTTTAACCATTTCCATGACGAGTATTAGCTTTTTTGCTTAATATGAAATTTCTTGTACATCATTCGAAAGAGCCGCGCCGAATGATAGTACCATTATCGGTTAGATTTGAACCAAAATAAATAGAAATTGGAAAAAAGGGGCGACTTCCAAAGTATTCCCCTTGGTAAGAACGTTACTTGCTTGTTACGTGTTTTAGCATTCCTCGAGTTGCCCTCACCTAGAAATAAGGCACTTGGAAATAAATTTTGTGTGAGAGATGAATTGAGTCAATTTAAAAACTGATTCTAACCTTTTTCTTTAGGTCATCGTTTAATACAAAGTCATAAGATTTTACTTTAATATTAAGTTCCTTATATTTAAAATAAGGTCCTTTCGGCATAACTAATTTATCCACCTATAAAAATGAATTTTCGAATCAAAAAATTTTTTAGACTTACAATTCTAATATTTAAATAATCCCGTGCCAATTCATTTTTATTTTCATTAATAAAGTTATTAAAATAACGACAAATTTTTTGGAAAGCGGTCAATTTATTGAAATTGAAATGTTTAAAAACATCAATTTTTTCTTTAGTTGTTAAAGCGGTTAAAACTTTTGTAGAAATTTTCTGCTAAAATTTAAAAAGATTTTTTCTTAACAAAGAAACATTTTGCTTACATTATATTTGTAAGTATGAAAAATAAAATGACATTTAGCAGCGGCAGGACTCGAACCCTCATAGGGAAAAATCCTAACCAAAGATGTTAACCAATACACCACAGATGACACTCAATCACTTACAAATTCAATTGATATTATTTTAGGGAAATATGCTAGCCTGTCGTACGTAATAGAGAACCCATAATATCCATTTTAATAAATCCAATAAAATCCTACAATCCATTTATTAGTTGATGACGAAGTCTTCTGGTCATCTTTATCAACTTCTTCAGAACAATCCAACTTTTGTGTTATATCATCAGTTAAGGTAGTCGATTGGTCTTCATCACCAACTTTGGACCAGCCATCACTGAGATCCTGTTCTACATCCTTACAATTACCGACATAATTACTTGGAAGTGACATAATGATTATGCTTTAATCTAGGAAAGTTTCAATAATTAAAATTGACAATGATTTTTTCAATATTTTTAAAATTTGAGAAGGAAAAGGAGGGGGAATTATTCGAGACAGAGAGACAAAATGTATTAAATTTGTCTCTCAGTTTTACCGAGGATAAAAAATCCTTATAAATTCAACTCTCAGATATACTAAGGATAAACTCAATAATTTATAAATTTATTCTATAAATAAATACAAACAATATATGGTCAGTGGGGCAATGGGCTAAAATAAGGTCTCTTTCAAAAGAGGTCTTTCAATAAAGAGGTCAAAAAAACGGAAATAAGTTGGGGTTTATATACGAGAGAAAAAGGGTTGGATGATGAAAAGCAATAGGTCAATGTCGTGTATTTAAATATATAAAAGGAAATATGAAAGATGGGAAAATAATATTAGATGATCATAAAATGACGTGGTCCCTCTCAAAAAGAGGGTAAATTTGAATATGAGGGAAAAAGGCAAGATTAATAAAATAAGTCTATCAAATTTAAATATATATGTTTCGTAATCACAGACATTACACTTTACTTTCAACAGATTACTTTCTATTTCAAGATATTGTTATTACTAGAGCGTGTAATGATGAGATAAGCACAAAAACACTGTTTTGGGTCGAAATAATGAGTCTATGTATATTGAACCTATTCGAATCTAAAAAACCTATTTCGGCATTTTTTTCGAAACTTGTCGAAACTTCTCTTTAGAAACTTGTGGAAGAAAAAAAGTGTGCCTAAGTCTTGGTTTATCCAAAAAGTTTATACAAAGTATAAAAAATTAAACGAGTTTATTTGAAATTAAAAAAAAGAGGTTATCGAATTTGAATTTAATTAAATCTCCTTTTTATTTTCGCTTGATTTTGAATTCTAGATCGCCATAAACACTTTTAGGTCCAACATAATTTATTAAGAAAACAATATTTGGATTGTCAGTATTGGCAATTTCATAGCTGGAAGAATATCTGACCTCCCCACCTTTGATAAATTGTCTTGTTTCAACACCTTCTCGGTTATGCAAATAATTAAAATTCCAAGCTGACCCCCAATTACTAACTTTAAATTCAATATTTGAAACAATAAAAGAACAATTTGTTGAAGTTGTAATTTTCTAAAATTTTATATTTTAATTTTTTTTGCTGATTTTTAAAAGTAATGATAAATGTGTTGTGTTATGTCCTAGGGTAGCGGTATTACCTAGTGACTAACAGATTAACACAGGAATAGAATATAACGTTTATCCGAATGGTAAATACAATAATAATGATGGTGGCAAAAGGCAAGAATGATGAAGGACAGGCGCCGGTCGACCCAGACTGATCGCTAACGACTCCTTTTATACCAGACCCACACATATCTAACATATGGAGACCGAATCTCATCAAATAAGGAACCCAGCTTCAAAAAAATTATCCGGTATGATAAAGACTGAACCAAATACGAATTTAAAATTATTTGAAAATTATTTTGAACAAAACCCCTTATTTCCAGGAAAGTTTGCTTCAAAAATTTGATATAGCACCCAGAGTTACGTCGTAATTACGAAGTACTGCGTTTTTTGAGTTACAAATTACATTTTTTGTATTGATCTGGCAGCTTTAACCAGGTATGTTTTCTGCCCCAAACTGTTACAAGTGAGGTTCGGTTATTCATTTTTTAATGACAGAGCAAGTAAAAAGCGGACTCGGGGGGGGGGGCAACTCAAAGAAACAAGAAAAATATATCCATCTCACCTTTCTGATCAATTCAAATATTGAAGGCCTCAAATTAGTAAGTATACAAACATGATCAAATCTAGCTCCATCATTTAAAATATCCAAAATAATTCCATTACATTTCTCCGTATTATTACACAAAGTAAACTCAACAGAAAATTTATCAAAAATCTTCAAATGATCTTTAACAAATTTCATTCCTTCAGATTCAAATTTCCCAATGCAATAACGTAAAGTCGTTTGTTTTGTATTAAGCTCCTTTACTTCATTTTCAAAAAGTAATTCAATTAAGACTGGGTTGAAAATAATATTATCAAATTCAGCCCTTTCATAACCACAACGAAAAAGTCGTTCTAACCAATAGCGAACAATACACATTTCTTCTATATTCTTTGGAACTAATGGTAGCTTCAAATTTAAATTGCAGTCTCTATATAGTGCCGCTTAAAAAATATAAGGGAAAAGTTCGGTTTATGTACCACCCCTCTCCTCATCTTTCCATCTCCTTAGAAAAAATGAGGAAGTCGCCAGTAGGTCAGATTTTATTTGTGGCGAATCACGGTTCGAGCTCAAAGAGACGTGTAAGTTTAGCCATAAGTCTAATTTCTAAATTGAATTTAAAATCGGATCCGGGATTCGAAGTAAATAAATTTGTCCTCATATTCGGACACAACCTCTAAAATGGGTACAGCCCAAAACGGCGCGCGGCCATAACGGCGCAAAGTCATAATATGCTGGAAAATGTCTGGTTCTTATTAATTTTGGTACCAAACTCCCTAGCTCGATGAGAGGACTCGTTTGATACTAAATCTGATAAGATTCGGAAATTTTGAAGCAAGTTATGGCTCTGCGCCGTTATGGCAGCGCGCCGTTTTGGGCGTGTCCCCTCTAAAATATGGAAAGAGCACTTCCTCTTTTCTTCTAGGGAGATAAAAAGACAAGCAAAAGAGGTCACATAAACCTAACTTTTACTGGCAATCCAAAGCTTTTAAATTAAATTTTTATAAAACAAAATTTACTTTCATCTACTGCTGGGCGAAGTCTCCATAAATTAATAACAGCTTCACAAGATTCATTAAAACTCAAAAATAGAGGGATGCGTTCACTCACCGCAAGTTCCCACTTAAAATTAATTTAGGTAAATGAGGTTCTATTCAGTTTGAGAGATGGTTATCCCTCAAAGTGAACTGATTTCCATTGATCTTTCATAATAACTTTAAGGTGAACACGATAACTGGCAATTTGATTATGTATGAGTTGTCGGTTTGGACCGACCCGACCCAAACCGAGGATTTTCGGTTCGGTTTCGGATATCCGAAGAATTTTCAGGAACCGACAACAGTATGTATGAGAGGCTGATTGAGATTAGAGTTCGAACAATACAGTAAAATCGACAATTTTTGGTATTACTGTACGTTACGAAATTCCGATTTATAGGTGAGATAGATTTAAAAACGGATTCTTACCTTTTTCTTGAGATTGTAGTTTAATATAGTGTCATAAGATTTTACTTTAATATCAATTTTGGTATGCGCACTAAAAGAGCCCGATTGCTCCATAGCTAATTCATCTACCTTCAAAAAAATTTTTTTTTTATTCAAAAAATTTTTTTTGACTTACAATTTTAATATTAAGATAATCACATGGTAATTTATCCTTATTTTCATTAATAAAATTATTAAAATAGCAATTAATTTTTTGAAATGAAATTAATTGATTGAAATTGAGATATTTAAAAACATCAAGTTTTTCTTTAGTTGTTAAATCGCTTAAAACTTTTGTAGGAATTTTCTGCTAAAATTGAAGAAAAAATTATTAAGATGATGTCGTTATGTTCTAGCTAGAGGTCGGAAAAATCAAATTTACGGGATCCTGTATGCGTGAGTAACTTTTAAAAAAGTGTGCGGGAGTGACTCCAAGAATAATCCCGCGGATCGAAAAGTGCGGGATTGCGGGAACGGTATCTCGCAAAATCCCACTCGCTACGACATGTCGTTCTAAAAGTTTATCAACAAACTTGTTTAGAATAAATGGAAATTAAAAGATTTTACGTCCATAGGACTCGAACCTTAATAAAATGACACAGCCAAGATCGATAACCAATACACCACAATGCTTTTTATTGACATCCATTGAATCGATGTTATTTCGGGGAAATACTGATAAACCTTGATATCCATTTTAAGTAGCCTAAAAAATCTTACAATCCATTTTTTGGTTGATGACGAACTAGTTGAAGCCTTCTTCTTGTCGCCTTTATCAACTTCTTCAGAACAATCCAACTTTTGTATTATATCATTGGTTAAAGTGGTCGATTGGGCTTCATCTCCAACTTTTGACCAGACATCACTAAAATCCTGTTCTACATCATTCTGCTCGACAGAATTACTTGGAAGTGACATACTGATTATTAATTAACTAAAAATAAATTTTTTATCCAAGAAAGAGAAATATATCCTTAACAATGTTATAAAGACATTAAAAAAACTAAAAATGTTAAGGGCGACATATGTAGTATAGTGCAGCAATAATCATGGCGAATGCATTGCTGCCCACTCTGTCGTGTATAAATGACGAATAAAAATTGACCAGTGGTCAACTGTGGATAGAGAAACATCTCGTACGAACACTCTCCGTTGACGCACGCACGAAAACTTGTTTGTTTTCTATTTCTCTTTTCTTTCGTTCTCTAAAAGTTTTATGCATTGTTTCAACCCCTTAACAGGGGCGATAACGGAAAAGTACCAAAAAGTTTGTTTTGTCCTGGAAAATAATAAGAAAAACAAAAATTCACAAAAATTTTTCAGAACATATCTATCAGTATTCATAAGAAATACAAAAGAAACGAAGTTGAAATATAATGCCTTCATCGAGATATCAAAATCCGTAAATCAACGGAAAATCGTGGTGAAGGTCTTTAAAAAATATTTTCGACCCCTTATAAATTAAAAGACAAAAAGACACAAAAAAAAGTTTATGCATAGCATATTAAGAGTTTTTTTTTAATTCAAAAAAAGCATTTTTTAAAATCAATTTTTAAATCGATTAATGAAATTCGTCTCATTTTTTCTTTATTTTAAAATCTATATCACCTCCATAATCTTCACTGTCCCACCAAAAATAATTTATTGAGAAAACAATATTCGGGTTGTCAGTATTGGCAATTTCATAGCTGGAAAAATTCATTACACTCCCAGAACTAATAAATTCTTTTGTTTCAACGCCCTCTTTATGCAAATAACTATAATTCCACATT